TTTTTTTTTTTTTTTTATTTACCTACGGCTTTATATGTTTATTTCCATTATTTGCATGAGGTTCGCACGCCTCCCGCGCGGCTCTCGGGGTTCCCCCCCCCACCCCCTTCCTCTCCCAGCTCCGGGTGCACAGCAGCTCCGCTCCCTACCCCCTTATTCCCCCTCCCTCCCGGGGTCTCCCCCCGGCGCTGCCGCATTCCCCGCAGCGCTGCGCGGCCTTTGGGACCGCTGCTCGGGGCTGTGGGGCTCCGCGGTGCCCCGCGGGGTGAGGTACGCCGCGATGCGAAGCGCCGCTCTCGTTCCGGTGGGGCTGACCGCGTCCAACTTTGCCCTCCAGGTCCCTCCTAGAGCCGCGTTTGGCTGTGCGGATCCGTCGCTTTGAGCCATGCACCTGCGCGGGTGGAAGCGCGCTGCCCCGGGGACACGCTGAGCTGCGCCGGGAGTGGAGGTAACCGCGGGGCTGCGCTGCGCTCGGGGCTGCAGCCGGGATGGTGCACAGATGGCCCTTGTGTGCCGGCACTGTGGTGGTGCTGGGCTTTGTACGGTTCTGCCCTCCGCTCGGCACCGGGGGGTCTCGCGATGGTCGGGCTGAATGGTCACAGTGCTCACGGCCAACCTTCGTGGTTCTCACCCAACTGCTTTCATCCCTCTTCGGAGGCACGTTGGTGTCTGCACGCTGCGGGTGCTGCAGCCCTTCCTCCTCCTCTTCCTCCTCCCCAGGGTGGGCTGACAACTGCAGAATCAGAAACCCAGTGGTGGCCGCACATCTGCTGCCCTCGTGCATCTTGGGGTGCCCCGTTCTTCCTCAGCCCAAATCCCCCCCAGCCCCGCTGCGATAGAGCTGTCATCCCACACCTGATGGTGTTATTTTTATTTTTTTTCAAGGGGGGAAAGCCCTGAGCACTCACAGCACCTGCTGTTGGGTGCACAGTCTGTGGATGTTTGGCATTCCCCAGCGCCACGCTTCCGAGCTGGGGGCGAGCAGAGCAGTTCCATCTTCCCCATGGCAGCTGCACACTGTCCTGGTGGTGTTCTGTACACGTGGCAGTAGGGCATTGCCATGGGGGGAGCATCCACAGATAGAGCCCCCCATGCTGTGCTCAGCGCAGTGAAGAAGTGGGATATGTGCGACCTTTGGGCATCACCTGTTCAAGGGACATGGAGCTCAGTGGGGTTCTATGGAGCTGTTTTGCTGCACTGAGTGCTGAGCTGTGAGCATTGTGGTGTGGGGCAGAGCCCCGCTTCCCCATTCGGATGCCATTGGATGCTGTCGGCACACTTTCCTGAGAGACAGTGCATACAGACCTATGTAACTTTATCCTGTGTTCATTATGAGCCATAATTGAAAAACAATCTTGGGGTTTTCCTTCCATCCCCTAAGGGATGGAGATCCCGGCTGAGAGCTGGGAAAAGCTGTGCTGTGCCATGCTGTGCCCCAGTCCAACCCCTTGAACCCTCTATGGGGGTGTCACTCTATAGGCAGAGTGCTTAATGCACAGCACCCAGAGGCGCCCAGCATGGGCTCTGTTGGAGTGGGAAGTTGAGAGGAGGAGAGATTTGTTGTGGGCCGAGGGGCGGAAGGAAGCTGAGGCTTAGCGAGGGAAACGTGAGCTCGCCGGGCTGGGATGGGGCTCTGCCACCACTCTGCTATTGTGGGGGTAAAAATAGCAGCAGGGTGGATCGCAGTGTGCAGGGACGCTCCTGGAGCTGGGCAGGTGAGCAGCACCCACTGGGAGAGCAGGACAGTGTCCTCCTGCACCAAAAGCACCATTATTTCCCCAAGAAGGCGCCCTGGCAGGCAATCTGTTATTGCTATTACAGCTTGCTGTCCCTCTGACCACACATAGAGCCGCTCTGGGGCTCTGGTGGCGGCACAAAGGCCACCAGGAGGAGGTGGTTCGGTCTCCATCTCCCATTCCTACGGGCCGCATAGCAAACATGAAGGCAGTGCGTTGGGCACGATGCTCGCCGTGCCCCCGGCGCGGTCCCCATCCTGTTTTTAGCCTCTTTGGCAGCGCCCTGGAGCCGTGCGCTCTGCTCACTGTGCCAGCAGCGGCACCGAGGACCGCGCGGTGTCACATTGCCGCAGCGCCCGCTCGTGACCCAGGGATCTCCCGGTGTGGACACGTGGGGACAGCTGAGGTCAGCCTCTGTGCTGGGGGTGAGCAGGTGCCCGGCTTTCCTTTGAGTGGCATCGATGTTGCTGGAAGCTGAGCAGCGGGACCTCCTCCTTGCACGCACCCTGACCCCAGCGCTCCCTGCAGGACGGCTGCGGGTCCCTGCCGTGCTGAACCCTATGAAGGTTGGGTGCCATTCTGCCTGACTTTCCTCCCCTGGCCACACTGTGGGGCGGAAAGGAAACATCTCTTTATTAGGGTTGTTTCCTTAAATAAAGCCCTTGGAGCAAGTGCTGGCCTGGCTGCTCCGCTGTCCCATGGCGGGCACTGCGTTATTAACACCTCATTAGTTGTTAGTTCCTCCCTACTCCTCTGGTTCAGCAAATCCCAGTGGCTTTATCCTGACTCCCACCTCACCGGAGACCTGTTTGTTTTTTTTTTCTGTGGTCCTTTGCACTTCTGCTGATGGCTGAAATTTCATTTCTTCTTCTGGAGGTCAAGAGCTGACTTCTCTCTGCTCCTTCCCCTGCTGTGTGCCGACTCGCACCGCGCTGCACAGGGCGCATCCCTGCGGCTTATCAGCAGTGCTTGGCATGGCCTGGCTGCCAGCAGCTGGCTCACACTGCAACCTGGGCTTCCACTTGGCCGCTCCCCAGGAATCTCTTTTATTTATTTATTTATTCATTCATTCATTCCCCTTCTAAAATCTTGACTTGCTTCCCCCCAAGTGACAGCAGCAGCAGGACGCAGCTCTGCCCCAATGGCATTTGAGGTGCAGGCGGGTTAGAAGCAATGACTGCCCACGTCTTTGGCTGGGCCACCTGTGGTCCCTGTTGTCACTCTATGACCACCAGGGCTCAGGTTGGATATTAGGGACAATTTCTTCTCCCAAAGAGCAGTGATGCAGTAGCTACTCAGGGAGGTGGGGGAATCCCCATCCCTGGAGGTGTTCGTGAGCTGTGGAGATGTGGCACTGAGGGCTGCAGTCAGTGGGCATAGTGGAGAGGGTTGGGTTGGACTTGATGTCCTTAGTGGTCTTTTCCAACCTCAGTGATGATTCCCATATTCCTGTGTTCTGTCTATGACCCCTGGCAGACATCCCTTGCCGAGGGCTCTGCCTCCTTCCAAGGGAGCATGCTACAGCACATGAGCAGTGGGGCTAGGGGTGAATTGGCCCCCAGTCTCCCAAAAGCCCCTGTGGATTTGCTGCTTGCTTTGCCTCCCAGCACCCTGCCCAGGGATGCTGTCTGTGCCATGGAAGTTATTTTGAGAAGTGGGGCAGCGCTGTTGGCATGGAGGGGAGCGGAGGCACCGAGATGAAAGGTAAATCTGCAGAGATAATTGGGAGCTGCTTCCTGCAGGAATCAGGTACAGGAGTGCCTGCCAGGGGGGGATGTCTCTGCAGTGTTAGAGGGTGCCCCAAGCCCCCTGCTGCTCCCATGGAGGGGTCCTGGACCCACTGTGGCAGGGGGTGATGGGGAGCTGTGCACCCCACTGCCTCCTCCAGGCCTGCAAGTCATCGCTCCTCCAGGCTTCATTTTTATAAATCGCCCTTTGAAATTCTGTCATCCCTGTGCAGATGAAAGCAAGATGTTGTGATGCCTCTGTGTGCATGTCTCCATTGCAGCTGGGTGGCCCAGCTTTCTGTTTGGGGTTTATCATTTTTTGAAGTGCTTTGAGATTTGTGGTTTTTTTTTTTTTTTTCCCTCTCTAATCTCTCTGGTTGTCACACCTTGGCAACCCCTCGGGTCTGGGCAGTCAGTCTCTCTCCTGCTCCATCCCTCCTGGGATCAAAGGGGAGAAACACAGCCCCCAGGGCAAAGCTGTCTTCCTGGTGATGCTGGCAATGCCCACTTGGATTGGCAGCAGGAGACCCTCTTTGTCTCCTCAAAATCCCTATTGGGCTGCTGTGTGCTCAGGGAGCTGCAGCAATGCACTGTAGTGCTGGAGGGCAGTAGCTGAGCCTTTAAATTCTGTGCCAGTGATGGATGGATGTGTGAGAATTGCATTTGCTGGCCTGGTAACAAACAGCTTTGCGTTTTACGCTGCTTTCCTGCTGTCTCTTGGGGAAATTCAGACACATCCTAAACTGCAAGGCCGGGGATTTCCCTGCTGGGTGAGTGGGGCAGAGGAGCACACAGGGAACTGCGAGGCAGTGGAAAAGCCAGGCTTCCCTCTCCCAGCTCCTGTCGACAGTTTGGGCAGAGGTTGGTGATGTTGGGTGCTTCTCCCATGGCAATGTGGGTCTGGTCTTCACCTCTGTTCAGCTCCTGCTGGCTCCAGCTCTGCTTTCTTGGTTGATTTTTCCCTTTAACCCATGGGCTTGTTGATCCCCAGAGCTTTCTGTTGAGTGCGGGGTCTAACGGTGGTGTTGGGCCTGGAGGTCCCCGGGCTGCTCTGGTCACAGACTCCTCGGTGGTTTTATGAGAAATCAATGCCGCTTTTGAATGGGTCATAATCATAAAATAAGTACGATTTATGGCTGCTGCCAGGGACACGTTTGGTTCCAGCGCGGCAGAGGGAGAGGAAAGAGCACAAAACCACTTTCCCACAGCGTTTCCCACTCCGTGCGGGGGCTGCAGACCCGCGCCAGCTGCGGGGGGACGCTGCGCCGTGCTGACGCTGTGCCCTTGCCCACAGCCCGCCGCCAGGTGGAATGGGGCAGCCATGAACGGCGATGCCCTGTGCCAGGAGCCCTCCTCCCCGCTCCCCGACTGGCGTGAGTTCTGCGAGCTGCACGCCCAGGCGGCCGCCGTCGACTTCGCCCAGAAGTTCTGCCAGTTCCTGAAGGAGAACCCGCACTACGACACGCCGGGCGCCGAGGCTTCCTTCTCCCATCACTTCGCCGCCAACTTCTTGGATATCTTCAGCGTGGAGGTCAGCCGGGTGTTCGTCTCCGACTCGCCCACCAAGTACAACATCGTGCCCTTCGTGGGGCTGCAGAACTGCCACGTGCCCTACGGGCGTGAGGTGGCCCAGCGGAAGGAGGAGACGTCCACCGAGTCCTTGGACAGCATGGAGGCCCCGCTGGGTGCCGGCCGCTATCTCAGCCCGGCGCAGCAGGCGCAGGCCCGCAAAGTGTCCTCCTACGGCCAGTCCCGCAGCTCAGAGGACGTCTCCGTGCACGCCTCCGCCAAGCCCAAGTTCAAGAAGGGCTTCTCCTTGAGGAACATGAGCTTGTGCGTGGTGGACGGCATGAAGGAGATGTGGCACCGAAGGTCTTCTCCCGAGCCGGGCGCCGAGGCGGCTCCAGGCCACAGGAGGACCGAGAGGGAGCCATGGGGCAAGGAGCCTGCTGACCCCCGGGAGAAGTGGACCCACAAGCTGCGTCTGTCCAAGGCACAGTCCTCCAAGGTGGAGCTGGTGGACATCCAGAGGGAGGGCACGCTGCGCTACATGGTGGCCGATGACACGAACTGTGTGGGGAGCTCACAGTGGCAGAAGTGCCGCCTCCTGCTGCGCAAGGCCGTGAAGGTGGAAGGGGAGAGGTTCCTGCTCGAGTTCTACGTCCCTCCCAAGGTAAGGCCTGGCTGGGGTCGTTGGAAGTGTTGGGGTGAAGTTGAGGCAGCAATTGTGCTTGGTGGGTTTGGGGAGGTGTGGTGCTGAGCGTTGAGACGTGAATGCACACACAGCTGGGTCCCATCCACAAAAGCACTGGTTCTCATCCCCCGTAGCCTTTGGAAAGGTGCTGAAGCCCAGCCTGCTGGCTGAGCCCAAGGCATTGGTGGTTGCAGAGGAGAAGCTCACTGCCATGCTGAGATGCACGGTGTCCTGAACATGAGGAGTTTTTGCTCTCCCCAACACTTCGCAGAGTGCTCCACGTGCCACCAGGAGGTCCCACGCTTGGACTCGGCACTCCTTATTTTCAAACTGATAATTCATTTGGAACAATCATAGAATCACTGAGGTTGGAAAAGACCTCTAAGATCACCCAGTCCAACCATCCACCTCCCACAAGCACTGCCCACGTTGCTCAGTGCCACATCTCCACAGTTCTGGAACACCTCCAGGGATGGGGACTCCCCCACCTCCCTGGGCAGCTGTGCCACTGCATCACCACTCTTTAGGAGAAGATTTTCCTAATATTCAGCTATCCTTGTGCTACCCAGCCCCCCCCTGTGCTTACAGAGCCTCATCTGTGCTGTGCATGCTCATCTTTGGCAGCCCTGGGGCAAATAGTAAGTCGTTCCCTGGAGCCTTACTAGATGTGTTAGAATAGAAATCTCGTGTTATTTAAATGCCATGGGAAGGAAAACCTGCTGTAATCACAGTCCTCTGTCTTCAGTTTTCCTTTCCTTCTCCCCTCATCCCATCATATCCCTTCTTAACTATTGCTTCAGTGGGAAGCAATGAGCCCACGGATCCCTGACAGTTGTTCTAAGTGTTCAAGTTTTAAGGGGAAAATACACTTGCAAAGATGCTCCCGTGGCATTAATAGCACTTCCCATGGGTGCAGGAAGACCCCTCAGGAGCAGGCTGTTCCCTGCCTGCTGCTGAATGAGCAGTTCAGGTTTTGCTTTTCTCACCTTCTTTGGTGGGAACACTGATGGAAGAACACAGCAGTGCTGGGCCCCATGTAGCACATGTGGAGGTGGTGCTGCGGATTGCAGAGGTGGAAATGAAACATCCCAGAGGGGAAAGGAACAGTTCCTGTTCTCATACTTCAGCTTTTAGCTTTTTTCCCCTTTAAAAAAAAAAAAAAAAAAAGGGAACTGAACCTGTTGTTGGTAACCTGCAGCCCAGTGCTCATCACCAGCCCCATCGGGATGCCGGTGCTGCAGCAAGGAGGCTTGACAGACAAGCACGTGAACTTCCCCATCTTCCACCAGGCCTTTTCTTCATTTAATTAAAAGAGCTCAGAGTTATCAGGCACATGAGGGAAATCAATGCTTTTTTTAAATTATTTTTTTTTAATCTCCCCACCCCCCCGTTACAAGCGTGTGGGCTGAGCTGCTATCTTGCCTTGCTGAGAGCTGCATTCTCCCCTGGGACAGTTTGATTCGACTGAGCGACGACTTTTTATTATTTATTGATTGATTTGATTTATTTGTTTGTTTCTTCTCATTCTTTTTTCTTTTTTTTTTTCAGGCTTCCAAGCCCAAGGTGAGCATCCCGCTGTCAGCCATCATCGAGGTGCGGACCACCATGCCTTTGGAGATGCCTGACAAGGACAACACCTTTGTGCTGAAGGTGAGGGTAGGGGCAGCGGTGGGCATCCAGTCCCACATCCAACCCCACTGCAGGGATGCTTTAGCCCCAGGGATATTTCCTTGGCCCCAGCATTGCTGCTGCTGCTGCTGCCCCCCCTTCCCACGCTGTGCTCTCCTTTGGGGCTCCCACAATGACACAGCATCCACCTGATGCCCAGGTATATTGGGATTGAGGTACAGTCATAGAATCATTAAGGTTGAGAAAGACCCCTCAGATCCCCAAGTCCAACCCCAGCACATCCCCACCATGCCCACTGACAGTGTCCCTCAGTGCCACATCTGCACAGTTCTTGAACACCTCCAGAGATGGTGACTCCAGCACCTCCCTGTTGTTTGCCTGGCTTTGCCATCGTGTTTTGCTTTATCCCATCACTACAAGAGTGCTGAAATGGGTATCCAGAGACAATTTGCAAGAGATGTGAGCAGAGAGACTGAATCCATCCCCAACTAGAGACCCCGGAGAAATCATTCTTCATACAATGCAATTAAGTGAATGCTCCCTGCTGACAGGCAGCAGCCCTCTGTGGCAAATCCCAGGCTCAGGTGGCAGAGCTGGGAAGCATCATGGAGTGGGTGGCAGCAGGGACCTTCTCACTGAGCACTGCATGGCCCCAGCCACAAAATGATAGAATATCTCAAGTTGGAAGAGACCCATAAGAATCATCAAGTCCAGCTCTTGGCTCCTCAAAGGGCCACCCAAACCACACATCTGAGAGCACTGTCCAAATGCTCTTTGAATTCCAGCAGCTTAGGGCTGTACCCACTGCCCTGGGGAGCCTGTTCCATGCCCAACACCCTCTGGTGCAGAACCTTCTAACCACCAGCCTGACCCTCCTCTGACGCAGCTCCATGCTGTTCCCTCAGGCCTTGTTGACATTGGTCCTCCCCATGTGCCTTAAAGTGAAGGCAGTGCAGCAGCCCAGAGCCAGCAGGAAGCATCGCTTCTCCTTGCATCGCTTCTCCTTTCCTCTTCCCCTTTCCTCAGCCCCAGCGCATCTTCTGGCTGTCTCCGTGCCCAGAGGATGCCGCTGACTCACAGCAGCTCATGAGCTGCCCTAACCCTGCCGTGCTTTTTGTAGAAGCACTCTGCAGTCGTGGTTCCCCTGCTGGCGTCAGCGCCATGCCCTTGAGGTAGAGCTGCCTGGGGCTTTTTCTTTCAAAGCTGATTTCTCAGCATCAGGGCATTCATTGGAATTCTTGCCTCATCTTCCAGCACGCTGCAGCGTGGTGTCATCTCTGAATTGATCAGGGATCCATCCTCTCCTCCTTCCTTCTGTCCTCATCACTGCTGAATGGCAGCATGAGTGGGGCTGTGAGGGCTGTGAGCACAGGGCTCAGCATCTCCTCCGCTTTGGCCATTAACTATCAATGTCTGCTCTTGGAATGTGGGTCATCACTTCTTCTGATCATGATTTCCAGTAAAATTTCCCTGTAAAATCTCAGCCCCTTTTACTGCTCTTCCTCCACTGCCTTGACTCCAGCTCTGCTCCCACCTTCTCAGTAATTATCCCCTCCCCATTTACCCTCTAACCTGCTCCTGCCCCATTCTGCCTGCAGGGTTAAATGATTGCCATCGATTTCTTCTGTGAGGCACCAAGCACTGAGTCAACCCCAGGGGCTCATTCAGCATCATCTGCTGCCCCTTTCCTGCTGTGCTCCCTCCCACATCTGCCTTTCATGGTGTGTTTCTGACACCCTTTACTCCTCGTGGCTCACTTTCTGCCCTGGGCCTCATTCCTGCTGCTTGTTGCTATCACCCTTTGCAGAGGACTGGAGCCCCCCTTGGCGCTGGGGCAGGGTTCAGAGTGCTGGGACAGGGGCTGGGGGGCAGCCCCTGCTGCTTTCTGCACTTGGGGCTGATGCAGAACCTACACCTATGGGTGGGAAAGCCCCTGCCTTGTGCAGGGGGGCCATGCTGGACCCCATGATGCTCAGTCACCCAGCAATTAGCAGACGGTGTGTTCTCGCTGCACATCAGACACCAAGCACACGCATTTTTTCCATTGCACAAGCAGTGCTTGCAAAATACCCAAGCCCTGCACATGCTCTGCTTGCTTTCATGCTGTGCATGAAGGAACACTGTGCTCTCCCAAGCTGCAAACCCTTGGTTAAACAAAACAGGGCTCTGCTGCTCCCCTGCAGCTGGCACATGACGGGGGACCGGGTGCTGCTCGCCCCAGGCACTTCTCCCTGTTTATTTTCAGGACAGTGATTCAGTTGTATGCCATTAATTTAATTTGCAAGAAGGCTCTTGGCTGGCAATGCAATACCCTCCCAGAGCCAGGGCTCCTCCCAGCTCAGGGTCATGCAGGGGGTCTGGGAAGGATGGGGCAGCAGCATCTCCTGGTGCCCACTGTCCCCTCTTGCCATATGTGTTTGCACCCTTCCCAGCCTCAGAGCAGCCCAGATCATTTGGGTTCACAGTCTTTGAGCATCTCCGGGTCACCCCTTGCCATCCCTTTGCTGGGATGGGGACATCCCAGTGTCCTCCAAGCAAGGAATTATTAATGGGAGTACGGAGATGTGGAGGTGGCTGCTGTCCCACTGTGTTATGAGGTTGGCTTTGCCTGGTAGGGGATGCAGGACCCCAAACATGACCTGACACTGTCCCGACTCACTTCCAGGTGGAGAACGGTGCCGAGTACATCCTGGAGACCATTGACTCCCTGCAGAAACACTCATGGGTGGCAGATATCCAGGACTGCATTGACCCTGGGTAAGGCTCACAGGCACGGCTGGGCTCCCCCTGCACACTGCAGCCACCTTCTCCCCACTCGGTCAGGACATGACCTGGGCACGATTCAGGCATGATGTTCTTGTTGAAAGGAAAATTGTCTTGTTCCAGCAAGAGAAAAGTTCCCCTGTACAGCCCAGAGAGAGCGGTGGGCTGGCTGCTGGTACTGGTAGGCAGCCCTCACACACCACTGGCTTGGAACAGACCCCAGCTGATGCAATTTCTGCTGCCCGGCTTATTGCAGAAAGTCCCTGACTCACTGGGGCAAAAATCTGGAGGCAGTCAGCAACTGCTGTGTGTCAGAGGTGTACCCTACAAAGCATGCACTCAATATCAGCCCTACTTCCCATCCTTTTATTTCCAGCCCAGTATCCATGCTGTAATGAAGGCTCTGCAGGCACACTCCCCCAGGGAGCCTCCAGCACTGCCCTTCTTGCCATGGCTTCCAAAGGGAGCTTTTAGGAGTGAGAGCCCTGAACAAAGCTGGGATGGGGGCTTGGGGAGGTCCCTTCTGCCTCCTGTACCCCCTTTCCCACATCAGCCTGTCCCCAAAGCTGCTTTTTGCTGGGGAGATTCAGCTGTGTGCTTCTTTAAATATATACAGCCCCATGCTGGCCTCCAGACACGGCCGTAAAGCAAATAATAATGAACTCCACAGCAAATAATAATGAGCCGCTTCATACGCTGCCACGCGCGCTCTGTGCCAAGAATGAATTTTCATTCAGCTCCTGCATGCAGTGCTCAGTCCTCCTGCCAAGGATCCGTGCTGAAACCTCTGCGTAAGCACCCAGCAACGGGATTTCTGCAGAGCTCTGTCGGTTTTGGTTTCCTTCTACTCTTATTTATTTATTTTTTCTTTTCTTTTCTTTTTTTTTTTTTTTTTTTAAGTGGCTGCAGCTGAATGACTCCCAGTGGCTGATTCACTTACTGGCCACTAAATAATTCAGCAGCTCCCCCGTGAGCCCTTACGCTAACGCAGCCGCTTCCTGGCTGCTGGCACACACGTGGCTGCTGTTAAGCAAAAGAGCACCCGAATGCCACGAGCAGCTAAAAATAGGCTGTGAGCAAGCTGGGAGCTTGCTCAACAATGGTGCTCAAGTACACGGGGCAGCCTGGATGTGTGGTGCATTAGCTTGTCACCATGCCCCATCCCATGGCACTGAGTGCTGCAGGTTCTTTTGTGCTCTGGGAGGAAGGGCTGAGGCTGAGGAGCTGGGATTTCATTGGGATGGTGGGGCTGGAGCAAAGGGAGTCTCTCCAGGGGGTGATGCCACGTGCGTAGTGTGTGACCCTCTGCTCTGTGCTTTCCCACCAGGGACAGCGGGGATGACATCGAGTTGGCATCCTGTGCTCAGGGAGCCTGCCTGCCGGGCCGGGCATCCTCCTGCAGCTGCGAGTTCCTGGCTGACGGTGAGAGATCCCACGGGGGTTGGGAGGTGTCTGCTGCTGCCACCTCTGCTGTATGTGGGGCAGCTGCCAGGGAGCGTGGACTGGGAGCTTGGGTCTTCGTGCTAGCCCCCATCATGGGGACATGCCTGCTCTTGCTTGAGAGCATCAGTGTTTCCTTTCAGATGTGCACAGGCTGCCAGATAGATGTGCCCTGCCCGGTGCTCACAATGCCACCACCACTGCTATGCCCACACCCCACGGCCGGGGCAGGGACTCCATGGGGGAGCTGCTGGCCCACGTCCCGCTGGAGAGCTTCTTGCAGACACTGGAGTCTGCACCCACAGCCAGCACACACCTTGCAGGTAAGTTTGCTTGGGGTAATGCGGCATTTGGCCCCATTGCCTCGTCCTTGGGGCTGGGAGAGGGCAATGCCTACATGCTCCCTAAAACCCAGTGGTGCTTGCGGCCAGGAGAGGACAGCGAAGTGGACACAGAGATCAACCTCTCTGACTTCCCCTGGTTCCATGGGACGCTGTCACGGATCAAGGCGGCTCAGCTGGTGCTGTTCGGCGGTGCCCGGAGCCACGGCCTGTTCGTCATCCGGCAGAGTGAGACACGGCCAGGGGAGTACGTGCTGACCTTCAACTTCCAGGGGAAAGCCAAGGTGGGTGACTTCCTGAGCCAACCTTGGGCAGCTGCGAGGCTGAGGGAGGTTGGGGCCTTCCACCTGCAGCTCACCTCCTGCCCTGTCCTCACAGCACCTCCGCCTGTCGCTGAACGAGAGCGGGCAGTGCCACGTGCAGCACCTCTGGTTCCAGAGCATCTTCGACATGCTGCGACACTTCCACACACACCCCATCCCGCTGGAGTCAGGCGGCGCTGCAGACATCACGCTTCGGAGCTACGTGGTGGCCCAGAGCCTGCAGCCCGGTGGGTGCTGGGGCCGTGTTGGGTTTGGGGCTGGTGGGGAGGATTGAGGCTGGGATCATAGAACCACAGAATCATAGAACCATTCAGGTTGGAAAAGAGCTCTCAGATCCCCACGTCCAATCCCAGCCCACCCCACCATGCCCGCTGACCACCACGTCCCTCAGTGCCACATCTCCACAGTTCTGGAACACCTCCAGGGATGGGGACTGCCCCACCTCCCTGGGCAGCTGTGCCACTGCATCACCACTCTTTCTGAGAAGAAACACCACCCAAAAATAAATGAGTCTCCATAGAATCCTTCGCTCAGATAGGAGAGGGTTAGAGGTCTGCACAGCTAACTGGGGCATGGAGAAGGTGGGCAGGGAAGGTTGGGGTGCACAGGGTGAAGGATGGGGAGAATGGGCATGGGAAGGCACCATACCCCAGGCACCCTCAGAGGGGCTGAGCTCCCCATTCCATTCACATCTGGACGGTGCTCTCAGACGTATGGTCTCATTTCTGAGTGGTGCCAACTTGAGATATTCCAACTTGAGATATTCCATGATTCCCTTGCAGATGCTGGCCCTCCGCCAGCCCTCGTGCCACAGCCGCCGCTCTGCCGCACCGACCCACCACCCCCACACTACTTCTGCAACACAGCGCCCGCCGTCCCGCCAGTCCCACCACCCACTGAGGGGGTGGCTGTGCCCCCCGCCGTCCCCACGCCCTACCACCGCCTGGAGGGAGCCCTGGGCCCCCGCAGCCGAAGTGACAGCGCAGAGCGCCGGCCGGAGCCTGCTGCCACCGGCACTGAGGACTACCACGATGCTGACGGTGCCCGCAGTCGGACCCGGGCAGTGGAGAACCAATACTCCTTCTATTGAGCTCCTTAGGGGTGGGATGATGGGGGGGGACACGGGGCAACCGTGCCCATTGCTGCTGCACCAGCCTCACTGCCACCACCAGCACCGGGGCTAGGATCTCCTCTTTGCTCCTGTGTGATGGCCCAGCTGGACCTGGCAGCACTGAGTGGGTGAGAGGTTGGAAGCATCAGTGCTGTTCTGAAGCTTGTGGCACCTTCCCTTTCCCTCCTGACCAAGTGTTCTCCCAGCACTGAGGTTTGGGCATTTTGGGGTGGGGATGGAAGTGTCCCTGCAGAGCTGTCCTACTAGGCACAGGTCTGTGTGCCTGGAGGCACTGTGCCCTATGCCCAGCCCAGCTCCATCCTTGTGCATCTCTGGGGCACAAGTTTCCCATGCTCTGCCAGGAGAAGGCTTTTTGTCCAAAGCTTGATGCATCTCATCGGAGGAAGGTCTTTCCCTGCTTTCCTGCCCTTTCTCTTCCTTTGTCCTTTTTCTCCTTGTAGAGACTCCCTGAACACCCCCTTTCCTCCTCTCCTTTTCTTCTGAAACCTTGGATGCCTACAAGGGTATGAGCAATCTTCTGCCTCCTTTCCACAGCACTCATTGCCATCGCTGAAGGCAAACCTTGAAAAACACAACACCAGCCCCACTCGCATCTGCCCTTAGTTGGGGTATCCCCAGGGGGTCACACAGAGTCCAGGTGCAGGGCTGGAGGCAGAATTGCCACCGCAGCACTCCCCAGGAGTGCAAACACTACAGACCTTCAGTAGATGCTATTGAAGATTTTTATTTTACTTTTTTTTCTTATAGAAATTGAAAAACCCAGAGAGAATGAAAGGAGTGTGGCTCCAGGTGTAAACTGTGTGGCTGTGCTGGTAGAACACAGGGACTGGGTTGGGCTGACAGCATTGGGATTTCCCTTGCTCAAGTGCCACTCTGCCCTCGCCAGTGCCACGTGGCAGCACCACTGCCTGCAGGGACCATGTGCTGTCTCTGCCTGTTAGCAGCATGGTGGCTTTTGAGCAGACCCCTGCAGCAGATCTCCAGCATGAAAAGGAGCTCCCTCCTGCACTGCAGAGACCTAAGAGAGAGAGCACAGATGCTGGGGCCAGGCTGCTTGCTGGGATTGTGTGCTTCATATAGGGTAAGAGTCAAGCCACAGCCAGGCTCAAACCCCAGTGAATTGCCTGAAGAGTTACTCTGGCGTCTGGTTTTGGTTTGGATCAGATTTTTTTTGTTAGGTGCCTTCTTTACTGAGCTAGCAAATTGTGTCCCAGCTCTGGAGTCGCTTCTCGTCCTTCCCACGGGCAGGGATGATCTTCTACATCAAGAAGACAGTCTACAAGCCTGTCTTTGAGGCTTGTAGCTTCCTCCAGAGCTGAGAGCTGCCTTCTGGGCTGCTGAGGGCTGGAAGCTCCCACTGTTGCAAACACACAGCCCTCAAACCCTGCCCTGCCAGTAGCCACCTCCCTATGCGAAGGCTGGGGCAGTGGGAGTGGGCATTTCTCCTTGCTCACGTAGGGAGAAGCTGGATGCTCTATGTCGCTGGATTTAACAGAAACTCCCTTCACATACACAGTGATTGAGTGGGGACCTCCAGATGTGGCACAGATGTCACTGCTCTTGTTCTCCCCACAGTCCCCAGGTGGCGGTGGATGGGAGCACTGCCTTAGAGAACTTCACATGTTAGCTGATTTGTCATCATCTGCGTCACGGGATAGGAGAGGGGTGGGGGGAGCAGCAATCTGCAAACAAACATGTTCATTTGTAAATAGGGAAGAGTCTGGAAGAGTTTACTGTTCTGTAGAATAAATTAATTTTATTTAAAAAAAGGAAAAAAGGGGACTTGTTAAAGAAGTGGAGAACTCAAGTTCCAGTTTTAAAATAAAACCACTTGCAAAAAGGACAGCACAAGAACATGAGCATGGAGCTTTGCTGTGTAGAAAGAGAGAGGATGCTGACATGTCGCATGCATACAGACCTTGCTGCTGGCCTGAGGCAGCTGTGGCAAGGTACAGGCTGCCCAGCAGAGTGGGTCTGGTACACTGAGGAGGGAGGAGGGGGCATTTTTTATCGTGGTTGAGCAGAGGGAGGTGGAGGACACAACCAGCCTTTGCAGGGCTGGGTTTCCTCTCCTCTCAGTCTGTCATTTTCATTGTCTCGTGTGTCGCCGGTGTAAGTTGAAACGCCTTCAACCCTGGAGCGGAGCAGATAAAAGTGAATTAACAGCCCTGGGGAACATCTCCTAGCAGCAGTGTTCCCCATACATGTTTTCCAACCCCCATCCCCAAGGGAGGCAGGCAGTGCCTCATGCTTTGCTGCCGTACATCTTCCTAGCGTGCTCTTTTCTGCTGAAGATCCCCAGGGAAAACCGGTATGTGGTTCCAGACTGCGCTGTCACAGCTCGGCAGCATGGCAGACACAGCTTCCAGACGCAGCTCACACATGGCTTTTGGGGGTGGAGAGAGCTGCTCAGCTCTGTAATCAGGCCACAGTTGCATCACGACCCATTCACAAAAACATTCCCTCCCCAAAAATCTATGTAGCCTGTTAACCAGCCCTGGATGCCCATCCATCAGGGCCTGGCCAGCTGGGGAGCTGACAGCCCTTCATTGCTGCGAGGGCTGTGTCTGCAGGACAGCTGCTCCTCCTGCCTCCCCATAAGCCATTCACACCTCAGCGTATTAGCAAATTGCCTAATTATGGCATTAGTTCTGCTGGAAAACGTGTCCTTTTGCTGGGTTGCTCTCTGCATTGCACATGGAGATGTAGCAGCAAAACGGGAGAGTGGGCTCAGTGTGGGCTGGACAGGTTGGTGCTGCTCTGCAGTGTGCTGCATGCTGGCCGATGCTGTGAATAAGGAGGAAGATGCAGGGCTTACAGCCGTGCAGCCCCCTGCATTTCTCGGGTGTTTCAGCTGTCCGCAGCGGCTCCTGCCTGATTGATGTGCAGGGCTTTTCTGTGCACAGCTCCCTGTGCTTCCAGAAGGATTCCTTTTGTTAAGAGAACACCTCAGAACACATTGGCTTTGAAACACAAAGGAGCTTCACTGATACACATCAGGAAGTGCTGTTGTTTGCTTTGCACTGAACTGCTCTAATGCAAATCCCGTGTCCCCAGCAAGCCCAGTTCTGCCCAGATCACAGCTCAAGGGTTTTTTTATTTTACAGTGATGCAATGATATCCATCCTATTTTGGTCTGACACAAGTGACAATCTCGTCTTTCCTCCCCAGACGCATCTCAAAAGTAACATGTGTACATCGAGGGTCCACACCTAGGTGTGTCATTTTGGAGGGTGCTACTTGCAGGTCTGTCTCCCTGTGCTGTTTGCGTGGGCTCTGTCTGATGACAGGCAGCTTTCTGTCGTTTCCCAGAGCTGCAAGTTGTTGTCAGCACGCTTTGGGCAAGAGAATCGAGCTGTCCAGCTGCTCCCTGCAGCCCTCCAGCCATAGTGGTGTCTGGCCATCACTGATTTGCTGTTCTCTGGCAGCAACTGGCACAGCCACACAGAGACCTCACAGCACTGCTCACATCCCCGCTTTCGGAAGCTGTGTTTTGGACCCCGAGCTGGGAGAGATGTGGAGACAGGAGCTCACAAGCTGGGAGACAGCATGGAGGAAGATGTTTGCATGGCAGCAGCCAGGGCTGTGGCTCCAAGGATGCCTTCCAGGGCCAGCGCAGACAGCTGGGAACACAGCCAGCTCTGAATTCAAGCCATTCTTTTATAAATCAGGTTGGTAAGACAAACACGAGGCATAAACTAGTGCCATTTCCATAGCAACCTCAGCAGAGGTAAAAAGTCTTTTGTAAACAAAGAGAGGACTAAACCTGTGGATCCGCTCTGATTTTCTTCACGGACGAGAGAAGAGCATGTGGGCTTAATAAATTCAGGTCAATACAAATGACCCATAAATCTCAGATGGAACCATTCCCAACCTCTGCGTTCCCTTTTCTCTCCCCTCTCCTCATGCACAGCACGGAGCTGTTTCAACCCAGTGCCCAGCTCCGTGCCCCAGCTTATCTCCATAAAGACACAAAGCCTGATGCCCCTCTTCCATCACCGCTGACCTTTAGTAGCTAATTCTCTGACGCACACGCAGTCCAAGCACATGCCATGCCATTTCTGTATGGTCACAGCAGCTCGATGAAAAATTTGGCTTGTAGAGAGAGCTGTATCACAGCCAGCTCTGGCTTCCATTCCTCCAGGCAAGCATAGCTCGGAGTATGCAAGCCCTCAGCTGGTCCACACACTGACTGGGCAAAGCCCCTGTGTTAATTAAGCACAGATGAGGCAGCGACCCTCCCCCTCACCCGTGAGTCCATGCCATGGGGAATTGTGCTGCAGCTCCTCGCTGCCAGCGGGCACGGCCTGCTAATTGCCAAAGTGACACGAGCAGATGGTGCCGCAGCCCTGCCGGGAGGCACCAGGAAACACCGGATCGCTTACACCATCACGGGGCAGGGATTTGGCTGGGGCCAGGGCGTCCGTGCAAAATGCTGAGAATTCCCTCCTCACAGAGCCCAGAGCGTGACGGATTTTGGAGCGGCCTTGCTCACAGATCCCACAAGGGTGTGGGGTCACTGGGAGCAGCGCTGGGGGCAGTGGGGTGATAGGAGATCTGCCGAGCTCTGCTGTGGGGCTGGAGAAAGCAGCAGCAGCAGCTCGGAGCAGCCCTCAGCTTCCAGCAAGGCCACAACGCACCGCCTGCTCCTTCCTCACAGCCCTCGCCATGCCTGAGGGGGCATCGCTTTGTGCAGTGTGCATTTACTAATGACACATCCTAGGCCTCCCCAGCAGCAAATACCTGAGCCCCGAGGAGGATGAGGCACAGCCCACGCAGCCCACACTGCTTCCTGCACCTCCTCTGAGGCGCTCCGAGCAGTTTGTGGCGGACAGACAGGCAGAATGGCAAGGCCAAGACCTGCCGCCATTACAGGCCGCTCGCATCGTGGCGGCCACGCCCATCGTGGCGGCCACGCCCATCGTGGCGGCCACGCCCATCGTGGCGGCCACGCCCATCATGGCGGCCACGCCCATCATGGCGGCCACGCCCATCATGGCGGCCACGCCCATCATGGCGGCGGTTCAGCGTCCTGCGCGGTGACGCCGGAAGTGGGCGGGACGCTGTGGGACGGGAAGATGGCGGCGCCCTCGGCCCCGCGACCGCCCCGGCCCCGCAAGGAGCCGCAGCCGCTCGTCATCCCTCGCAACGCCGCCGAGGAGCAGCGCCTCCGCCTCGAGCGCCTCATGAGGAACCCGGTGAGGGGACGGGAAGCGGGCCGGCCGCTTCATGCTGGCGGCCGCGAAGGGACGGGTATTGAGCTCGTGTCCCACCCTGGGCTGTGAGGGAAGAGGCGCCCCGAGGGGAATGGAGCAGCCCGGGGCTCCGTTGTCTGCCTCTTGCTCTGCATTTCCCGGGAGCTGGCGGGAAATCTCAACCCTGGGGCTCTAATGAGGCGTCTCGACCCTTGTTCTGAGAGGTGCCTCTAACTCCTGCTTTCTGCCCGCTCCCTGTCAGAGGAGATGTGTCCGCACGGGTGCTCCTTCTGGGGCATGCACCCGTGTTAGAACTGCAGGTGTTGCTCCCAGAGGATGCTGATGGTTGGTTTGTTCTTACAGGAAAAGACTGTACCAATTCCTGAGAAGCTGAATGAGTGGGCACCACGGCCTCCCCCGGAGTTTGTCAGAGATGTGATGGGTAAAGACACTGCTCTACAGATAACTGTAGGATCAGCCATATTGAGCTTAGGCACTATTTAACAGAAAGATTGGGGTTGATTTTCTGTTGGCAGTCATTTTGCTGGAGAAAAGAGGTATAAAATGAGCTTTTTGAGTTGTTTTCTCAATGTCCGCATTGTTCGTGGGCCTTGCTTTACTCAAAGTCAAAACCTGTGGCATTCCAGTAGGCAAGCTACATGTAAAGGAATAATCTGTGCTGTAGTGATCACAAGGCACAAGTAAATTGTCTTTTCCACAGATATGAAAGTGCTCTGGAAGCTTACAGGTGTGAATTACCTCTTTTAATTGTTTTGAGTCTGAATCTCAAGTGATGAGAGGCAGAGGCATGCAGGGATGTGACTGTGTGTGGTCAGCTAGGGAGCTGACAGCTGTGCAGGCAGTCCAGCACAAGTGTTCTGCCTACACTTCTATCTGGAGGGATTAGGATTTGTAGCATAAAGTGCATCTGCATGTAGATCTGCAGATTCTTTGGAATCTTCACCTTATTGATCTTCCCAAAGGCCAGCTTGTTCATATTTCAGAATAACTAATCTAAGATTAAAAGTTTTATACATTTTTGAGTAAACTGTTCTCAATATTACAATTCCCTCATAGGCTTTTCAAATAGCTTTGTCAGGTGCTTCAGTAGAGCTGTTTTGGTTTTTTAGGAGCACCTGACGTGTTGGGATTCTGTTGGTATCAAAGTGCCCGATTGCAATCTCGTGTTTTAATTACTAGATGTTTTCTTTTAAGAATGCTTTTGTGTACTTTGCATTTAGAAATGGCTCAGGAGGCACAGGGTGAAAATGAGTGCCACATTGAAAGCCCCTCTGGGACTTTACCATGTAGATTAGTGCTAGGAAGAGAAAACTGTAGGGATTTTGTTCATGAAGAAATGTACAAAAACTGTCAGTGGTATCTGTGGTATCAGGGAAACAGCAATGCAGTGGGTTTTATCACCTCTCAGTTGACCTTTATTTTTTTTGTGTGAAATGGGGAGAATCAGTGAGAGGCAACCTCAGCAGGATGTTGTAGTTCACCTCTGTCTAGAAGACAACAGGGTGTGCATTTAACTTGAGGCCTTGTGCTTCTGTGTCCAGCTAAGGCTTTATTCTCTTCAGAGGAGTAATTGTGAGAGGATATGGTGATTGCTGTTGGTGTTGACTAGTAGAAACTGCATTGAAGTGTAAGATTTTGCAGCTTACTTTAGCTTTTGACTGGGAGTTGTTTGCTTTTATATAAAATGCAGACACACTCTGTGTTGTTAATAGACTTTCTTTGTACACTGTCCTTTTAGATATCCGGCCCCTCAGCATCTAGCTGTAGTAATTTGTGAACATCCAGTGTGTATTATCTTCTAGCAGATGAACCCCTTCTTATTGCAGGTTCTAGTGCTGGAGCTGGCAGTGGGGAGTTTCACGTGTACCGGCATCTTCGGCGCCGAGAGTACCAGAGGCAAGATTTCATGGATGCCATGGCTGAGAAGGTCAGCAGGACTCTTTATATTTTTTTCTCATAACCATTTGGTGTCCATTGCTATTTTTTTCTCACAAAATCATGTGCAAACAATGTTCCAAACCACCTCTTATCAAAAGAAAACAGTGCAGGAATATGTGATATGTGGTGTCTTTGTCAACACTGAAACATTTGATGCTTTGTGTCAGACATGGTCCCTCTTCTCTGTTCACTAGGAATCCTAACATGTAATATGACAGATGAATGTTTGTGTTCTCATGTGGGTTTGAAAATGCTTTAACAACTGTTAGAAATGTCTCTATGTATAAAATGAAATCCTTAATACCAGTGTCTTGCACAAACAACATCAAAGCAGGTGCATGCACACACAATACAGATCTGTTAAGAGTGTCTTTTCTTTCAGGGAGCATTGTTGTTATATTCTCTCTTGGCCAAAATGAATCCTCTAATTCATATGTTTCTGTCTGTGTCTCAGATTATCCTCTTGTTTTTATTGACACATTCTTCAGGGCAGAAGCCCAGTGTCACTCATCTGTTTTGGTGAGGATTCTTTCCTCTGAAGTGTTCAGTGGTTGGCTCAGGCTGCAGGTTACCAATGCTGTCTGTATACAAGTCTTCCCTACGATTATGTATTTTGTATAACAAAGCAGCCAGACAAAATCTGGCAGAGCTCCCTTCTGTATTTTGCTAAAAGACTTCTCCCTAAAAGGACATGATTTTGAAAAGAAGTATTTTAATTTAGGTTGTGACCAAAGTATAACATGTGATCAATTACAGCAAAGACTAGATGAGGAATTCCAGAAGAAACTGGAGAGGAATAAGATGATTGCAGAAGAGCAAACAGCAAAACGCAGAAGGAAGCGGTAAGGGCAGATTGCTCCCGGGAGGTTTGACATGGAAAACCTCATGCCCTGTGCCTCGTCTGCAGCTACATCCTTTGGATAAATACTCCTGTTCTGTGTCTACATCAATCAGCCAAGAAATCTGTCTGCAGAAATTAATTTCATTAATGTCATTGTTTGGTTTCTAAAGGCATCTGTAAATTTGACACGCTTTGCTGGTGTGGTTTATTTTCAGTGCCATTGCTAGCAAGATAATTTTGACTGCTTGAGCAGCTTTTGCTGACACTGTCGCACTGACTGCAAGAAGCCGTGCTGTGTATTTGTTTTAACAATGTCAGGAAAGTTCTGCACGTATGTCTGGCTTACATAAATGTCTGTAGCAGCTGACATCAAGCAACTTGAGTGTGAAAATGGTGCTGCTTAACGGATGCTTATATGGATTAGGAGTAGTAGGGTGTGATGGTGCATGATGTCTGCACACTGCCAGTGTGACTAGCCCAATTCAGTGCACGGGTATAGAAAAGGCCGTGCAGTGTTGTTAAAATGAGTTAGCAGTTTCTACCTACCTCACTAATATGCTGGCTGTCTACTAAGTTAAATAGAAAAAATGAGAAATGTGAAATCATTCCTTTCCTGTGCATTTTAGGCAAAGTGAAACAGAAGAAATGGTCTGAGAATCATTAGCAGAGATGTAAGATCTTATGTTCCAGTCTGCCATGCCTTTCAGAAATAGCAGATATCATGGCTGCTTACCTCTTCCAGAGTGCCTGACCCTGAGCAGCTTCTCTCTTGTCTTTTTGAGAATGAGCGTTTTGCATTTTGTAGCTGAGAGCTGCTGCTGAAAGGCCTATGCAGAGTGACTCATTGGCGCATTAGCACAAATGTGCACAACACAAACACTGTTGCCATCTTACTTTACATCTAGTGTGGTCCAACAGATGGCCAGCAAGTCAGATCTGGCCTGCTGCTTCTTCCTTGGCTGAGAAGCAGAACAAGTGTTTGAGCAGCAAATGCTACCCAAACATTTAAATACCTCCTTCTTGCATTAAATAGTCTTATGGTGTAAATATCAAGCAGCTGTGGCACGCAGGAGACCCCTAATGTATCTCACCACCCTTCCTCTTCTGTCCAGAGCTCCCAGGTGTGGTGTCAGGGTCTTTCTGTAGAACCCTCTGACTGTGTTGTGAGGGTAACGTCAGTCTCAGATTGCTCTGCCTGATGTCTGCCATTAGACTGCCTATTTTTGTTGGGTAACAAAACTGAAATCTTTTATCCCCAGTGTTATTCCCAATGATTAAGCACAGCCAAAGATGAAGATCAAGTATATTGCTTTATTATTATTATTATTTAAAGCACATTACTGATAATTACTTTTTTCAGTGTTGAATTCCAGCAGCTTGAGATTTTGATAAAGTTTTCTCCATATTTTTATTGGTTAAGTAGCTAAAACGTAGGAACAGTTTCATTCTTGTTCCTTCTTTGTTGTGTTCTGGAAGATCCTTGTTTATCATATGATTTCAGTTGTAGTTGCATCTGGTAAAAGACTTTAAAAAAATAAAATAAAAATCCATAGGACTAAAACCAACATAGAAAAGTTTCTGTTGGTCTTATATCTAGATTTGCTACCACTTGTTTTTAAGTTGAGACCAAATTTGCACTTCTCTGAAGTCTTTTCCCAGGATGTCTGTAATAGGTCCTTAATTGGTGTGTAATTACAGTGTGCAGACACTGTACAATGTTAGATTTACGTGAGTCTTTTTTCATTGCTTTTTAGCCAGAAGCTAAAAGAGAAGAAACTGCAAGCTAAGAAAAATAAACTTGAACAAAAGAAGCAGGAAAAAGGTCAGTGAGATTTAGTTTTCTTTTTTTTAAGTCTTGGTTCTGTTTTCTTTGAACCTTAGGAGGGCTTATCCCATCTCCACCAAGCATTCTTCATAGATGGATAGGACTGAGTCTTAAGTGTGATATTTTTGTTCATCTGTCAGAAGTCCTCTTTGAAAGCCATATTTTTAAATGCATGTGAGAAAAAGGGGAAAAATGCATGGCTTGGACAGCAGGAAACTGAGTTATGATTTCGTTTGTAAGAAATTAAGCCACCTTGGAGCCATCTGTTCCAGACAACTATTTCATTTCATGTAGAAATAAGCACTGCCTCTGTTCTCCTGCAGTCTTGGAAATTCAGCGATGTCAGAACAAATGTTTGTTCAAATTTTTGGATGCTCGTTGCTTCCTTTTAATGAGTGTCTTTTACCTTAATTTTTCAAAGAGCTGTGCTTTGTGGCTGAGCACGCTGATCGCAGTAAGTCTGGGAAGTTAACACAGTTCCTGGTAGTTCTGCTAGAACATAACTCGTCTGACAGTTCTACTTTATTTCTGCTCTTGTTTGGATCTGTTTCAGCTGAACCACTGCCAGCCTCCCATGTAGATGTGGGAGGATAGATTAATCATTAGGTTAATTGTACTTGAGACAGCAAGGGAATGTAGCGGAGTGCTTTTGGTCTGGTTTGTTTTTAAAAGCTACTTGCACATAAACTGTGACTGGGGGGAGAATCTGAGTGTGAGCTTAACAAAACAGAATGGCTGTCTCTCCAGGGTGGTTGGGAGAGGGAGGAGCCAGGATTCTGTGCTATAGGGCTGCCACGTACAAATAAGTCACAAATAAGCCATCTTCGGGGAACCAGGTTCTGAGCTCCTCTGTCTTTAGAACAGTTCTTTGCTTGTTATACTTTGTGATTCTCTATTTTAAAACTAAATAAATAAGCTGAAAACCACATACAGCTGTCTTTAGTCTGCTGAGAACAGACTTGTCTTTTACTAGTTTTGTATGCCTTGATGTCTGAGTTCTTTCCAAAGTAATTGAAGTGTGCTTGTCAGACCTGGAAGGTAGGCATTTGTGTAAACAAATAATAGGACTTGTGGCAATCTTTCACCTTTGTCAAGGAGAACTGTTAAGAAGGGTTGGCACTAAGTTCTACAGTCCCCTAACGCAAATTGACGGGATTGAACTTCACCACACGGTGGCATCAAACCACTGGTCCTACACACTGGTCAGAGCCTGAGCTGAGCTGACTTGGCCTGAGAAACAGGGAGGTACAAGGGGTGAGACAGCAGAGTTATGGCTGTCAGATCCAGGTTGCACTTTATGCCGTACCTAATTTCCATATCCATTATTTAATTTCTAGAAGGTGTTTTCTCTTCTGGTCTTTCACCAGTTTTCTGTGATCCTAGCTAATCTGGCACTTACCTTAAAGAGTTCCCATGTTTGTAATAAACTTAACAGTCTGTAAAAGGTCTTGGCACCCTGTGGAGTTACTGTAAACTTGGATAGACATTGAAATAGACGGAGCCTGGCAGGCAGCTTCCTGGTGTGTGCATTCTTTAGCAATGTTTTGTGATACTTGAAAGTTCGTGCCAACACGCAGAGGTGAGATTGGGAATGAGATAATCTGTGACTTTAGCACCTGACTACCTCTGATTGAGATAACATTCAATAGAAGGTGGAGTTCTTTCATGTTGGGTTTGTCACAGTGGTAATGCAGCTTGAGTGCTGGAGGTAAGGGGACTGCTTCTCCAAGGGAGAATTTGATATTCAGAGCTCTACTTCACTCACTGTTGTGAGATTTTTCATAAGGAGGACATGTGGAGCACTTTATCAGTTTGTGCTAATTGGTGTGATCTAATACCTGTTTGCTTGGCACCAGAGGCTATTTTGTTGTGAAATACATAACAAGGAGGACATGGGATATGTTACCAATTCATATGGTTTCTGTTTTTAGAGTCTGATCAGTCTCAAGAGCAAGTCAGCAGTGAAGATGACGAAGAGGATTGCAAGGAGGAGGAAGAGAAGGAAGATGATGCTGAAGAGCCAAGTTTTGTGATGGGAAGAGGATGAGGCCTCTGAGGGACAGCAGGAAACACTGTTCATTGCTTTACATGCAGAAGCATGAAAGTCTTTCATCTCAGCCAAGCAGAACCCATTGGTGAACGTTATATCTGCTTAATGGTGAATGACCTTCGCATCGCAGGCCTGAGAGATATCGATAGAGAAATGCCAAATAAGAGATTTTTTTTCTTAATTGCTTGTATAACTGCTGTGCAGTCTGCTCTGTTTGCTCTAACGAGTCAGCCATAAGTCTCTGTGACCCTAGAGTTCCTTCTGACATGGCCCAGAGTGTTTTTCTGTCTGAAAGCTAAAACGCACCCATTACCATTTAAGGAAAATATTACTGTGAGGACTACATAATCTAATGTTGTCAAAGCTGGTAGCAGTCAGATACCTGAATCTGAGGGCAGAGTTCAGTCTGCAGTAGAAAAGTGGTCTGTAGCCAGGCTGTCATGCACTGTGAGTGTTCTGAATCTGGGGATTTGTATGGGGTCATCTCTAACCCAAAGAAATCAGTTTATGTTGCTAGACAAGTTCTATAGATTTTTAAGCAAGATCCCTTTTCTATTGCTAAAACTTTCCCTATTACTTTTCTTCCGTGTTTTTTAAATTAATAAAAGGGATGTGTTGGATTGTTCTGTCTTCTTTTATTTGAAGAGGATTTTGGTGAAATGAAGAGGTGTTTGCAATGCTTCAGGAAGGAACAGAAAGGCCAGGTGATGTGGCACATGAAAATATGGAAAAAGGTGTTAGCTGCATATCATATACTTTTTGCTTTTGGATTTGATCATTGTTAAGGTTTTCCTAAAGACTGTGTGTGTAAAACCTCCAAATCTGTAAAGCAGAAAGGGTTGGAATGGAATGGCATTGCTTGTATTAAGCTTCATGTAGTGACACTCCCTGCTTGAGGTCTCTGCTTTGAACTCTGAGTTTTCTGGTAAGAAAAAAAATCTGTATATATGTTTGTTGATGCTTAAATGAATAGCAAATGCATTAATGGTTTTATTTGTATATTAGGTTGTTGCCTTTTCAGTGCATCTTGAACTAGAAGTGCCTGCATCACACAGCATCAGCATCCAGAATGTGGCGCTACTTCTCAAGCTCTTGTTAATGCCAAATTATTTAAAGCAAAAACAATGAAAAGGAATCACTTGTTAGTTTTCAGTCCTTGAACTGCCAGAAATCCGGCATTCTGTCTGTGCTGGCTTTATGCAATGGTTTCTCACTGGTATTTCTGTGACAGTGGGGGAGCAGATGTCATCAAGTGCCATTTTGGATTAGATCCCCTGTGCCTCCCTGCCACCCCAGCTCAAGCATCCACATGGAACTCTTGTGTTAAATCTGGGTAGAGCCACGTGCTTTGGGTAAGTTGTGACCGTTTCATTCTGTAGTGCTTAAGATACAGACTGGATGTCCCACAGTTGTTGGTGTTATCACAGTGTAAAGTGCTGAGTTAGGGGAATTATTTCACTCAAATCCCCTTTGGGTAGGTATGCACTGTTGATGTATCTGTGATGTGGGACAAGCCACGTTGTGTTTGTTGGATTTTGGTTGGAGGGAAATTGAGAGTCTTGCAAATAAACAAAGACTGTTCTGACTGTGAGTTTGTCAGGCTTTTGAGCTGAATAAATCGGTGCTGGTTGGCATTAAGCAGAGCAGGCATGTGCTGCATGAGGACTTCTCACAGTTGGGAAGAAGATGGACTTGAGTTGGTGTCGGTGAATTAAATGAACACAGGTTGTATGACCCTGCCATGGCTCCTCAGGACGTTGTGCTGCCCATTCTGAATTATTCATGTGCTGCATTTGTGAGGAGTGCTTGGTTTGTATGTGAAATCCATAAAAAGCCAAGAGAATGTATTGCTGAGGGTGCTGTCTGCCTTACGGCCATCTTTTAGGAGCAGGGTCCATATTTGATGTGTGTTGCTCTGAGTTCTGAGAACTACCATGCCATGCTGTGGTGGTCTTCAGAATACAAAGACACTTATGAGTGAGGGAAGTTTTGGTGTGAAGAGAAAGCACAGATGCAGTGACGTCTGTATGGGAGAAGCATCATCCATGGAGCAGAAAAATGGAAGCGCTCCAAAGTGCAGTAAAACAAAGAACAATTCAGGAGCTGCTTCTTGTTCCAGATACAGCAGCAATAATGTGAAGATTTTAAACAGCCCCAGAGTGTGACCTGCTTCCATTACATTCTTGCTTTGGATTTCTTTCCAGAGGAGTCAGTCTGCATCAGAGAAAGGAGAGGTGTCACCAGGGAGCTGAATGGGCTGTCCCACTTCCACAGGAGCCAGCAGTGTTAATGCTGTGACCATGCAGAGGTATTCCTAATCTCAAAGATGAAAAGCACGCTCAGGAAAGTACGTGTTTGTCTCTCTACTGCGTTTCTAGGAATTGTTTTCCTTTGTTTCTTCCTCCCCTCCCCAGCACTGATGCTGTCAGAACAGCCCGCTGTGCCATTGAGCTGGAGCACTGTGCTGCTGCCTCCGAGCGCTTTATCTCGTTTTCAGGGCAGGAGCTCCTTCCTATTTCCCGTAGCCTGCCCCCTCTCGTGCTCCTCTGATGGATTTATGCGGGATTTCCTGCTGAGTCAACGGAGGAGGAATGCGGGGAGACAGCAGCAGCTCTGATAGCCCTCATTTACAAAGGGCGGCTCCTTCAGCGCTCAGCACTGCCTCTAGCGTAGGCTTTTGCTGTATAGTAACCGTAATAAAAGCGCATTTACATCCCATGCTACCGGTACGTTCTCTGTGCAAAGATGGAGAGCTGCGATCACCGCACCCAATAACGCACCGGCCCAGCCCAGCCCCGGGCTTCCCCAGCAGTACGCGTTCGGAGGGGGCGGGGCTATCGGCCTGGGGGGCGGGGCTTGGCGTAGCTCTGACCAATGCGGCGGCGATCACGTGCCGAGGGGCGGGGCTACCGGCAGCCCCCCCATTTCCTGCGGGTCACGTGGCGGGGGCCCGGCGTTGCCTTGGCAGCGGTGGAGGCGGCGGAGGCTCCGGTACCCGGCGGCTCCCGGGGCGCCGCGCCCGAACCGGCCAGCGGGCAGCAGCGGTGAGCGGGGGAGACCGGCCCGCCAGGGCGAGGGGGCTTCGTCCTACCCGAGTGGGGGTGGTCAAAACGGGGAAATCCGGGGTCGGAGGGCATCCGGGGCTCCGGCCTGGCCGTGGGGCAGAAAGGCACCGGCACGCTGCTCCGCACGGGGCTGGGCGGGGGCTGAAGGCCCACGGAGAGGCTGCCGTGCGAGCGCTGGGAGCCGGGCTGCCCACCTCAGCCGTGCCGTGCAGAAATCCCCACGCTTGCACCCCGCAGGTTGGATGCGGGGCGCTGCCGGGGCTTCCCCTCCTCCTGGCTGGCGCTGGGCGGGTTACCAACATCAATACGAGTCGGCGCTTTGCGTCTTCAGCAGCGGTTTGGCGCAGCGGTGGCCTGGCACGAGTTTGGCCAGAGCTGAGAAAGAGCCTCCCGGGCACGTCCTGCAGCTGCGTGCTGTGCGGTGCTGTGCAGCCCCACCAGCGCAGGTACTTCTGTTCTGAACCCGTAAGCTGCAAGGCAGGAGCACGGATCTCCCCATAACTCACCTCTGGTGCGGACCACTGCCTGAAAAGGGCTTCCAGAGTGAGGATGCTCCCAGCTGAAGGTACCGTGTGTGTAAAACGCTCCTTTGGTTTTGTGTTTCAGCCCCCGGAGCCCCCTGCAGCCCCTCCATGCCCATAGGCAGCCAGGTGAGTGCTGTTCCATGGGTTTATGGGTTTCCTTCTGCAGATGTTTACTTACTTGGGAACGTCTCTGGAGTTGCTCTAGAGTAAAAATTCATGCTTGTGGTATTTTCAGTTTATTTTTCCAAGGAAAGAAGCAGCTGTGATTGGGTGTTCTTGTTCTCCCCTTGTAACCTCTGAATTCGTGTTTCTTTTAATGGAATTTGTCCCGGGCTTGATGTTTCCAACATGTTGAATTCCTGTGTGTTGTATGAAAACAAATGGCAGCACAGAGGCCGTCGGCGTCCCAGCGAAAACAAAGCCAGCACCCCCACTATGCATATACAGGATGCCATCACAGGAAGCAGTGCCGTAATTCTGCCACTCACAGACAGTCTCACAGCTCACAGTGCTTGGCTTGCAGCTGCAGCCTTGGTCACTGTTCCTTTTGAGCAGTGTGGCTTAGAGCTGGGGGCGGTTGTTGCTTTTTCTCTCGGCTGCTTCCTCCAATCTCCTGGCAACCATGACTTGATAAGCCCACACCATATGGCAGGGAGCTGGGCAGGGCTGGAGCTGTGCTCCAGCAAACAGCACAGTGCCTGCAACCCACAGGTGTGGGGCTGGGAATGATCAGTGCTCCTTCAGGGAGCTGCTGGAGATTCACAGCCAGCAGGAAGTTTCTGCTGCAGGAGCTTGGGAGATCCATTAGTTAACCCCATGCAGCGTTCAGCTCCATGGCTGCTTTGGGGAAGAGCTGTGGCTGTGTGAGCTGAGCAATGGATGAATGGAAAAACTGGTGTACAGAGGGAGCACTGGGCACTTCAGTTTGGTGTACCCTGGTACACTAATACGATGCATTTGGAGCTGATGCACGATGCAGTGTGACATTAAACTGCCGACTTAAAACCAAACAATAGGATGGTGACCATATTTTTAAAGTGTATTTTTGTAAAACAAATGAGTGGGGAGGAATGAAAGGGGAAGGTTGAGATGTTGGCTTTGACATGTAAAGTTGGGTTCTGTGCTACGCTGGCCACGCTGGAGCAGTTCCAGGTTTCCTTGTGCAATCCCACCTGGTTCTCGTGATCAGTTCTAGCAGGCAGGTGGTTCTGTGCATCATTTCCCTATGACCGAGGATAGCTTTGTTCCAACACAGCTTTTCCAGCAGCTCATCCTGTCTGCTGCCTCCTCCTGATCACGGCTGTTTTATTTCCTCAGTGCTTCCCTCATGATGAGTTCTGAACTGAACGTCCCAGTGGATCCCTCCACTCCTGCTTGCTGCTCTGAGCCTGGCACCAAGGGCATGGATTATCGGGACTGGGTGCGCCGCAGCTACCTGGAGCTGGTGACCTCCAACCACCACTCTGTTCAGGCCCTGTCCTGGAGGAAGCTGTACCTGAGCCGAGCCAAGCTGAAAGCCTCCAGCAGAACCTCTGCTCTGCTCTCTGGATTTGCAATGGTACGTTGGTTTCGCAGGAATGCTTTCTGGATTTGAAAAACTAACAGCAACAAAAAATCTCTATTAATTGGTGTTCTGTCCCTGCGAAGAAGCAGGGTGTGCTGTGATGTGCTTGGCTGTCCCACGGCAGTGTGGATACAGGAGCTGCCCACACCTCCCAGTTATCCTCCCAGCCCTTTGCAAACACTGATCTCCTCCCTGCAAATGATCCCGAGAGCTGCCCCGTATCCAAGCAGTGCCCCAAGGCCGGGTGTTGCTGGCTGCACCTGGTCGCTGCTGTGGTCCTAATCTCATTTTCTGTATGTTTTTTTCAGGTCATGGTGCCTGTAATAAGGTGGAGGCTGGCTGGCAGCCTGCCAGAGAGCACTTTGCATGGCACAAACAGGGAGATCGTGTTGTGAGAGGCCCCACAGCCTCGGGCACAACGTCAGAGGGCTGTGCAGCCTGCAGGGAGCCAAACCGAGTGTATTTTTGTCAGTGCTGCCTGTTGGGAGTAATCCCTCGTCCTTACTGTGCTCTGTGCTTGGGTGTTAGCTGGGAACTGTTGCATAGGTCAGAGCTGTGTCAGGGAGCGCAGAAATAAACACCACGAGACAGCAGTGTGATGCTTAGGGCTTTGAGCTGTGATGCCATCAGCCTCCTTCTCTCCCCTCTGGTTTTGCCCAGAGTGAAATCTCTTCTGGGGAGATTTTCTGTCCAGGAAGTGAGCTGCTGCTGAGGTCTGAATGCACACATACAGAGGGCAGGATGTGATGTAAGGGAGCTGCACGGAGGAGATGGGGAGGCTTGAGGAACTTTCTGTGTTTTATAGAGTTTTGTGGGTTTTTTAAGCTTCTCCCACCCCTGCACCTCCACCCCTAGAAGATGAATGCTTCTCAGCATTACAATGGGGAGATCTGTTTTGCTGCTGCCCAAAGTGGAGCAATATTAAAACATGGCAGTAGGTGGGCGCAGGATGCAGGGAACAGAGGAGCATTATGTGCCCTTGGGTTTTTCAGTCCGTTGTGGGGATGTTAGAGCTGGTGCCAGGGAGCACCCTTTGCCTTGTCTCTAACAGTATAAAAGCAAATTAGCCAATAGGTGTATTATTAATAGACCATTGACTTAATACAGTAAGTAGATCCCAAATCAGAAACTGACGTTTTTGCAGTAAGGAATTCCCTTTATTAGTAGCCTTTTCACACTTGGCCTTCCAGCAGAAGGTGATGCTGTCCATAGGTTGGTAGGCTTGTGCTTAGGATGTGGACATTGACTCTTAAATAAGAGTGTGTCTGTGGCTACTGATGAAAGTGGTGCAGTTATTTAGAGTTAAGTGGTTCCCGTGCAGCGCTGTGTGCCCATAGCTATGTAAACAGGTGTCACACAGGGCTTGGCTATTGCTTTATTTACTTCCCTGTCAGCGTGTGCAATTCCAGCCAGTCTCATATTGGCTGAAAATTATTACAAGCTGATGGGTATTTAATCAACAGGCGGTGGCTTTGATCCAGCTCCTTCTGGACAGGCTGCAGAATAATGCAAACCTTCCTCATTACGCGATGCTATCTGTGGTATTTCTGGCAGAGAGCTGGGCAGGCCAGGAGGATGTGGCTGCTTCCAGCTCCAGTGCTGCACAGAGGGGCTGCATGGCTGCACAAGCCTCCCTGGGCAGACTGTAGGTGAAGGGGATTGAGAGGAGCACGGGAAATCTCCTTCCTCATTTCCCTGCTGGAAAGAAGAGCTGTTCCCACTAGCAGCGCTTGTCTAATTGCTACAGGATGTGCATTTGATTTAGAGAAGGGGAAAAGAAGAAAGAAAGAAAAAAAAGTCCAACAGATCTACTGGAGTGATTGTTTGCACAGACTGCCGAACCATCTGTGTGGATGTAACGTGCTCTATGTGAAACCATTTGTTATCTTCCTGTGTGATACTATCTGTGCTCGTCTGAATTTCTCAAGATGAGCATCTTCTTTGTTGTGGACAATCTGGGCTCCAGTGATCTTTAAAAAGAAATGATGAGAGAAAAGCATAATAACCCATAATCTAACTTGAGTTTAATTCAGAGCACGTGCTCCTTTAGCAGACCTACGAGCGTGAGGTCCAGCAGGGCAATCCTTGAGCTTAACATTAAGCCCGTGCTGAAATCCTCTGCTGCTCAGCAGCGTGCTCAGCGCCTTGCAGAGTCAATCCCTTGATACTTTGGCTTCTGCAAGGAGGCTAAAGCAGAGGGGGCTGTTATCACAGAGGAGTATAATTGTATTGAACGTGGCATATTAATAGTTTTACAGACCATGTAGCATGCTTAATGGTTTTTAAATGGGTTATGTCAGCTTGTCCTCTTTCTCTTATCCCGGTCAGAGGATGACATGACAATCTGTATGGAGTAAAGCAATAGAGCTCGCTCACCTTGCCAGTGCTTGTTTGTGTTAAATGAACTGTTTTTCTGCCTTGCTGCCCTATCTGGATTGTTGATGTTTTTCTATGAAATACCTCTTACTGAACCATCAGTCAGTGTTAAAAATTCATCGTGTTGCACAGCTGAAGCTAGCCCTAGGGAACAGGTTTGTCTGGGAGGAAACATCCAATTAGCTGCAAAGTGCTGCTGATGTGACGGGTAACAGCTAGAAATTGATATGTTGGCATCAGCCAGCCTCTCAGCTCTGATATAGAGCTATGGATTGAACATGCTGATACAGTTCCTATTCAGCTTGCTGAATGCTGTGTTGCAGGGTGGTACAGCCCCCAGAAATGAATGATACACCTGCAGCTTCTCCTGCCTGGTGTAGCCTGACTGACGATCACTGTGCTGTACAGGGGTGTCGTGCAGGGCATGGCAGCAGAGGATAAGTCTGATCTCCTCAAATCTGTGTGCAGGGAACTGGAAAAGGAACATGAGGTCAGGTTGATGGCTGGATATGGAGGGTCTTCAAGGTCTTTTCCAACCTAGATGACTCTGATTAGAAGATGAGAGGTGATGGCCTTAAGTTGTGTCAGTGGAGACTCAGGTTGGATATTAGGAAACATTTCTTCTCAGAAATGGCAGTGCTGCAGTGGCAATGCTGCCCAGGGAGGAGGGGAGTCCCCATCCCTGGAGGTGCTCCAGAGCTGTGGACATGTGGCACTGAAAGATGTGGTCAGTGGGGCTGGTGGGCTGGGGTTGGACTTGGGATCTTCCCCACCCTCAGCAATAACATGATTTTAAGGTAGTGTGGTGTATGCTTTATTTCCATGGACCTTCCTTGCAATGGTGGTGAAGCCAAACCTGTGTTTTTTTTCCCTCTGTGTGACTGGAGCTACTAACAGGAACCTCTCAAAACAAACAGAAAAAACCAACCACATATTCATCACCAGAACAGAGGGCTGGGAATGCCCAAAAACTGTTCCAGTGTTCTTAGCATCTCTTACATCATTTGTAGTTGATGTAGGAATAAAGCCTGGGCATGCTGCTATTGGCCATTTTCTACCCCTCTCGCGTGTTGTGTCCTGCAGTTTGCAGATGTGTTCAGACCTGAGCTGCTCCCTCCTTCGGGCTGCTGGTGATTTCAAGGTAACTGCAGGAAGGACAGCAGTCATAGCACTGCTTCCATCCTCCTTAATCCTCTTCAGGGTCAACAGCAGGGACAACTTAATCTCCCAGTGCCTAAGTAATGTTATAAGTATGCCAGAGTGAATGGTGCAGATCGTTATGCAGAGCCTGGAATGGCTGTTCATACTTTGCTTCATTAATATACCTTAAAATGAACAGCTTCAGAGATTTGTTAGCTGATAGGAGCCGGCTTTCCTGAACTAAGAGAATGGAGTTGTCACGGCGCCCATAAGCCAGTAGCCATCCACCTCCTTTCAGTAAGTTATGAGACCTCGAGGGAGATATTTGGGGATATAAATAGCTTGTATCCAGGCATATTTGTAATAAAAACCAACTTAGCGCTCGGAGAATAGAAGGCAGCTATTTTAACTATGGACTAACTTGGATTATTATGAAGTAGCTCTCATTCTTCCCTTGGGAGGCCGGGTAGGCTGGCTGGCAGCTGGCCAGCAGGGCTGCTGCTTTTGCTCTCCTGTGCACTCACCATGTTGAAACTTCCTGCAGCGAGCGGCCGGCGGTGAGCAGAAGAGGAAGGTGTGAGAGCAGCGAGCGGGATGGCTGCCTGCAGGCTGTGAGCTGCCTAACGAGCTCCCGCTGCTGCCTGCACGGTTTGATGCTGTTCGTATGGCTGCAAGGAGGGAGCTGCTATTTTGGAAAACTGCAGCACCAAAACATGTGTGTAAAGCTTGATAGACCAAGCTGCAGACAGTGCGTGCATCATCAAGAGAAACGGGGCTGGTTGTTCAGGCTGCTGTTCTAAAAAGCACTCAAGTGTGTACTTGAGCTTAGGTGCTCCTCCTGAGTAAAGATGCTTTCCTGGATTAAAGCCTTGAATGGTGGAAAACCAGCAGCTGTTGAGCAGTGGTTTCTTGTTCTTGTTCCCCCAGGTTGCCATGGTGGAGGTGCAGCTGGAGATGCAGTACAAGTACCCACAGATGCTGCTCATCGCGTTCAGCGCCTGCACAACGGTGCTCGTGGCTGTTCACCTCTTTGCCCTTCTCATCAGCACCTGCATTCTGCCTAACGTGGAAGCAGTGAGCAACATCCACAACCTGAATTCCATCAGCGAATCCCCACACGAGCGCATGCATCCCTACATTGAGCTGGCGTGGGGCTTCTCCACAGTGCTGGGGATCCTCCTTTTCCTTGCAGAAGTGGTGCTGCTGTGCTGGATCAAGTTCCTGCCCGTGGACTCCATCCTGAAGAATGACACCACCACCATCCAGAAGCCCAGCGGCCACGCGGGCTGGCAGGCAGCTCTGGTCTCCACCATCATCATGGTCCCAGTGGGGCTGATCTTTGTTGTCTTCACCATTCACTTCTACCGCTCGTTGGTGCGGCACAAAACGGAGCGCCACAACCGAGAGATCGAAGAGCTCCACAAACTGAAAGTGCAGTTAGATGGGCATGACAGAGGCATGCAGGTGGTGTGATGGGGGCCGAGGCCGAGAGCAAAATGCCTGTTTTGCTGGATGGAGGGGCACGCTGGTGGTGGATTGTTTGGAGGCTTAAATATGTAAATGCTAATTGCCTGCCGTGTATAGCTGTGGGTTCTAACGCTGTTTCAGACTCTGTGGTCTCTGGTCCTACACACCTCTGTGCTTAAGTGGACACTGCCATGGGAGCTCAAGGTCAGATCTTTACATTGGTACAACTAGCCAAAAATCTGCATTATTTTACAAATGCTCTGTTGCCAAAAGTAAAACTGCATCAGCTGTCCAAAAAGGCTGTGTGTGTGTAGGACCTGCCTTAGTGTCAGAACTCCCTGGCTGACTGTGCAGCAGCAATTAACTGGCAGTTTGTTTCTAGAGCTGAGCTGGTTAGTGAAGGTGTTTGCACCCAACCTGAGGACGATTGGAAAGCACAATAGGAACTGTGAGTGTTCGTCACCTTTGTTCCAAAGCAAATGTTCCATAAACATATAACCAGGAAGAAATCAGCCTTGGCTTTTATGTTCTATTCTCACTATTCCCTTCCATGCTTCCACAAATTCTAAATGCAGGGGGCTGGGGACTTCTGTTGTTCTGTCTTCAACAGCATCTGTCACTTTAGACTGAACAGATGCCAAGATCACTTGTTTTTTTCTTTTTTCAATAAGAGCCCAGGGAAGGCTTACAGGTGTTTTAGTTTTAACAAGGACATTCTTAAAACAGAACAGTGACGAAATTTAATGAGATGAAGCTTTGAAGGACTAGAAGAGCAAGTTTCAGGGAGGAAAAGTGGCAGCAGACAGTGGTAGAAACTCGTCCCTGTGTTGTTTTCAGTTATGTCCTGTTGGAATGTCTTTTTCTTGGTGTGCTGGAGAGAACAAATCCCACTCCTCCTTTTTTTGCTGGTGCTGTTTGTCAGCTGTAGCATTTGCCTGTTGAAAAGGTCCGCTTCCTTCTCCCTGCACCAAAGCAGGCAGCTCCTCTGGGGAAAGTGGAGCTGCAGGGTGAGCCTGGTGGAGCTGGACCCAGTGGAGATCTGTGTGCCATTAAAGAGCTATCACATTTCATTTGGGCTGCCTCTTCTCCAGCATTAAAGAAAAAGACATTTGCACATCAGTACGACTTAGCAAGGGAAGCTTGCGAATCCTGCAGCATCCTTTTGGGCAAAAACTGCCATAAAAAGTATTTCAAGAGAAAAGAGTGTTTTGCAGTCATCGGCTGTTCTAAGAAATGTGAAGCTTTCTGACATACAGCTGAAAGAAACATAAGCCCATTTTCTTGGTCCTGATCCTATGCCCATTTCCTGCTCTGCACTCAAACACTGCAGTCAGAATCTCCCAGCTCCCAGGCTGTGTAGGTTCCTGAAATCGTTATGGATGTTTGTAATGTTCTGTTTAACGATGGTCCTTTTTTCCACTGGGATCCGAGAAATCTAATGGCAGCATGTTCCATGTCAGCTTCCCAGAATGGGGAGTACACTCAACTCCCAGTGAGACCTTCCCTGTGCCTCTCTTTGATGAGGGTCTTGGGAAACGAACTCTCATTTCTCTTGTTTACATGTGAGTTTGAGCATTGCTGAACAAGTTGCTTAGCACCGTGTCTGTGCCTTTCATCTGTTGTTCTTGCCACAGTTGGCATGTACCATATTGGCTGATGTGCAGCAGAGAAAATAGTTGTTGTGTGTCACATGACTAGCCTGTACTTATGCACATATGCAAAAAATGAGGAGTGTCCTCCGGGAAGTGGATGGTCGTGAAATTTGTACCATCCCCCAGCAGCCCGCCTCTCTTCCTCCTCTTCTTACCAAAATAAAAGTTAAAGGTTTACGTAACAAAATCAGAGTTGAGTTTTCTGCCAAGTATTACACACGTAGGCTCTTCTTCCAGCAAAATCTCTATTGCGAAGCCAGAGCTAGAGCAGATAGGATTAATGTCATATCTGTACTTTGCATTTTTTTCTATAACAGCAGTAGTAATTGGTCTCTGTGCACTGTGGAGCTCAGGAGGTTTGAAATCAGTTGTAGAGGAAAGTATTGTAGCATTATTATTATTATTTTTTTTTTTTTGTAATAAAGAAATTGTCAAATTTCACAGTGTGTATGTGATGCTGTGAGAGCAGTGCAGCTCATATGGAAATATAATAAATTTCAGCAGACGGAGAAATGCAGCAGAGACTGTGCTTTGGCTTTGCAGAACGCCCTGGTGAGGCTTTGGTGGGATTGGGTTCACAGCAGGCTCAAGGCAGCAGATCTGTGGCTGGAGAGGGATTGCCTCACTCCACAGGGAATCAGGGGCTTCAGGTGGTTTCCCAAGGGTTTATGTGCTTAAAGCTGCATAATGGTGTGCTTTCCTCAATTTGCTCACAGCTTTGATTTCTGTTTCTCTCTGGGCACTGGGTTCTCCCCTTCCATGGGAGTATTTTTGCTTTTTGCCACCTGGGTTCTCTCTCTCTTACCCATCATCTTTGTGCTGTACCTCCTCTTGTTCCTTTCCCAACAAGAGCACTCAATTTCTCACCTTTTCCTCTGACTTGTTTACATTTTCACTGCTGTTGGATCCAGACTCGCATTGCAGTAAGATCTCCCGTGGTACCAGCAAGCAACAGAAACTTAATTAATCTGTAAATGAGTGGGGACAGTGTGCCTGTCCAGACGGCTGCTTCTGTGCTGCGGTGCCAGAAAATCTTCCCAGCTTCTGCTGCTGCCCCATGGCTGGCAGCAGGGCTCCATCAGTCAAGCAGGGAGATGCCTGCCTTTCCACACCGTGCTGCTGTCCTGCAGCCTGGCAGCACCAGCTCATGTTTCGTGCCTGGTCTGAGCACCTCGTCCCAGTCAGCCCCGGGTCTGTCACCGCTGGGTCTTCAGGTATGGACTAAGCTCTGGGGTGCCTGTGGGTGTGCTGCTCCTGCACTGGGGTCAGGATGGTGTTTATTTGCTTCCCGCACCAGCCCTGCGGTGCTGCCCTCGTCCTCAGCTCTCCTCACAAGCTCTCATTTTGCCTAGGCAATCCTTCCAGCCTGTTCAGCAGAGCTCAGCCAGGTCTCGGGGCTCACCTTGCTGCAGGGAGCAGCCACAACCCTGTCCAAGGCCTTTTGTTTCTCGGGGGATGCTTTATGCCAGCAGCAAGATGCCACTGTGTGCTGCAGTGCTGCCTCCTGGAAAGGGGAACAAGGGGCAGTGCAGCTTTGTGTCACCTCACGGCTGCCTCCCTCGTTAGCAGGAGTCCAGCCTGGCCACGAGTGCAGGCAGGCGCTGGGAGCAGTGTCAGGTTCTCTTGTTGGCTCAGCTTGGTGCAGCTCCTGCTCCCTGATCTCCCTATTTTTAACATAGGCTGTCAGGTCCCAACCCATCCCATTGCTTTGGTGGGCAGCAGCAGCTTCAGCAGTGATGCAGACTGAGCTATGCTAGACCTGGCTGCCTGGGCCCAATCCATGTGATTTCAATGGAAATGATGACAGGGCTCAGAGCAGAGCATGCTGTGCTTAGTGCTCCAATATGTGGAAGTGCTGACAGGGAGATGGTGGAGCATGCACCCCTGGCTTCCTGGCACTGAGGGCAGCTGAGGACTGGTGGGTTGCAGGGCTGGCTGCTCCCATTTAGTGCCTTTCTGTGGTTTTATGTGGGATTTCACCATGTCCCATCTCCCTTCCCTAAGCTAACAAAAAGATTCAAGATTCTCTATTTTCCCAGCTTTGTTATCTTCTTCCCTTATCTTAAAGCAGCTTCCTCAGCAGCCTCCCTGAGAGCCACAGCCTCAAGCTCAACCCCAACACAGCCAGGCCTCGTGCTTATCTTCTGATTTTCCTCTCGCAGGCTGCCTCCTCTGTACGATGTCAGACAAGAAAGCGGCTCCAGCAACAACACACTGGCTGAGCTGAGAAATGTCCAGTGAACAACATGTGTAGGGCTCAGAGCTCACCTCCTCCAGGCTGTGACTGCCAGTGCAACACTGACTGTTGCACACTAGGAGAGAACAAACCTCTGTATGTGTGCTTCACCAGCTCCCGGTTTATCTCTTCGTGAGCAATGCTTAATGTAGAACAAGGTATGTATCTCAGTTGTGAGCAAAGCCAGATAGACGAGCTAAGTTTAATGCTTCTTGCTGATTTCAGGCTGGTGTTTTTTGGGGTTTTTTTTATGCTTTTTTTTTTTTTTTGAAAGATAGCTGAAGTCCTCCAGCATCCTCTATGGGTTAATTTGTGTTTTACCTCTTGTTATTTAAAGCTGACATAGATATTACACGTGTCCTTTTAAAACACACAAGGAGATATCAAATAGGTGCACTTGCTTTTAATGAGAGAATGGTTCCTGGCACGTGTTTTACAAGTGCTAATCAGGGTTCAAAAGACAAACAGCTCTGATAGGAATTCCTATAATTTGAAGTTTGTCATACAATAATTATACTAACAGAGTGGGCAAAAGTACTTTTAACACCTAATTAATTAAATCCTCCTTGTACTTTTCTTAGATTTCTGCAATACTGATAATCCAGACTGCAATTACGGCTCTTTAGGAGAGAATGTACATAAAGTTTTAAAAAGTCAAACAGATCCAATGGGTTTGTAATTGCAGTGATCTGTCTGAGTTGGTGCCTAGGAGAGTGTTCAACAGTTGAAAAGTATAAAAGATGGACATAGCAATAACTGAGTTATGACTACATTAAGTTTTGGACTGTAAAACCATCTTGACAAAGCCCTCAGTTCCTGGCTTACAAGATAATTATTTGCAGATTTTAAACTGAAGATATCAAGTAGGCAGGGCTGGAATTTTCTGGCAAGAGCAGCAGCTTGCTGTACATCTCGAAGAAAATTTCAGCTAACAAATGCAGAGCACAAAATGAACTAATATTGTTTATCTCATTATCGTGGCACACTGATTCATCAGCAGCCAGCATCTGCTCCCATTGCTGAGACAATGAAACAGTGGGTACCCATGCCAGAAGGATTCTCACAAGCTGAGAGCACGATGGAAATGTAAAAGGGAATGTTGGAAATAATGGTCAAACATTAATGGAAGAAGTTGATTGCTGCATTTTGCTATGTGCAGAGCAGATTACTGAAGAGGCTGAGCATCAGAAGGCAGCAGGGTGGTGGTAGATGTGTGTCTCAAGGCTTGCCCTACCTGCAGAATGGGTTTCCTTGCCCAGCGTGGCTCTCTGCTGACCCCCAGCAGTCTGTCAGCCATCACCTGCTTGGCCCAATGTCTTTTAGTGCAATAGCAGCAATGCAGAACCTGGAGACAGCATGCTATTATTATGCCCGTGGGTGCTGGCAGCACAGGGCTGATGGCACCAACCTGCCTCAAAAAGGTTAGGAATTACAATTTTGGGATTTCTGTGAGAATTTTCTTCTTATAAAGCTCAGCTGTCTCATTGCAGTGACAGTCTTCTGTCAGAGAGGGCACGCTGGAACTGCTGCTGAGGCAGTGATGCTGTGGGTATGGGTGGAGGTTTGCTGTCTAGGACTGCCCACGGAAGCAGTGCTCGCTGATCCCTGCTGCAATCGCTGTGTAGCTGTGTCCACAACGGTTTAAATACAGGGCTAAACTAAAACAGCTTCATTGCAACCTTGAAAGGAGCATAGTTATAAACATTTCAAACTCGTTAAAATAATCTCAAAATCATTAGGTCCTGATTCACCTAACTGATTTCTAGTAACCTAGTTTAGTTGGACTGAGGAGTTGCCTCCTCCGCAATGCCTGCAGCAGAGGGCAGTCTGCAGCATGAATTCATTACTGATATGTTAAGAACCACGTGCTGTGCCAAGGAAGTACTTCTAGGACAGGATATAGCTGTACGAGGATGCTGAAATCTCACCTAAGAAACATGCCCCTTTTCTTAACAAAACCAGACAGCACTGCAAAGTGTCATTTCATTACTGTATCTGTGACAATGCTGAATGGTTTTGATGATACAACAGTGTATCATGCTTCTTCCACAGCACAGCTTCATTTTCAAGAGCACAGAAGTTAGTTCTGAACCGACAGATGGCCCTCAATCAGCGTCTGCAACAAATGATGACTTGAATCTTAGGTACAAGGTATGATTCAAACCTGACTGCTGGAGCTGCCAAGAAAAAAAATGACAGCCACTGGTGCTGCAGTCTGTTGCCCAGCTTATTCCCAAAATCTGACTCTCAATACTGACAGCAGGGTTCAGAAATGACAAATGATCAGAAAAATAACACAGTCTGTGTGAGTCTCTGGTCTCAGCTCTGCCCAAGCTGTCTCTGCGGAAGAGTCAGCATTGACCCTCTGCAAATGCAGCTCTTTGGTCCCAGAAGATATAGGTCACACACAGCACTTATGGTTTATCCTCACTGTTAAAGTATGAATCTTCAGCAAAGGATAATTACTTTAATTAGTTCTCAGTGTTGTACCATCTGTGGAGAGATGCTTGCCTGCCCCCTGGAGAGCTTCTCTCTCAAGGAGCAATCTGAATTGGGTGAGAAGACAGCTGTGTCCCTAGGGCACAGGTAACAGTAAAGCAGGATGACATAAGAGCTGCCATTGCCCAGGACAGTCTTCACAAAAAACTGTTTGTTAACATCCATACATACCCAGTTTCTTATGTACGCTTCAGAAATTAATCAAATTCTACAAATCCTGGTTTTTATTTTTCACATTTCTTAAGACACAATTCTAGCAGCCCTTTGCTGATCACACCGGTGTCCCTTGAAAGGAAAGAGCTATCTCCAGCAGTTCTTTACCCAGCTCCTCATGCCTTCCTCCAGCACTGAACTCTGCAGACAGCTCTCTGAATGTGACACACACTCGTCGATGCTCGATATGCCTGCGGTGAATGGCATGCTTCCACTTGTAGCGTGCCTCATCATACAGCACCACCAGAGACCTCCTGGGTAAGTGAATGGCAACAGTCACTTCCTTACTTGGGACAAACCTTGGGGATAGAAGGCAGCTGCTTCCCTGTTTGCCTGAATTCTCGCATGCTGACGTTTGTGTAAGAGATCCAGGGGGATTTAATTCCCCGTTTTCATTACTGAAAGTAGGAAATAATTGGATGCTGTCCTCTGAATCACAAGACATGGACAGCACAGTTTTTGAGAGCAAGTTTAAGCTAACCAGACGCTCTCCCCACAGCCACCAATCATCAAAATGTGGGTCAATAGCAGAACCTCTTTCTGGCCTGTAGTCCAGATTGCATTGTTCAACAGGTAAGAAACCACCTAACACAGAGCAGGCCTCCATCTGTGCCACAATCTTTTTACTAAAACTTGGCAAGCCAGTAAAGCCACCAGCTTTCAACCTCTGTTTCTTGAAGTTCACTTTGGGTCCATAATCCTGTTGGAACAGAGGGAAAAAACAGCATTAAAGGAAAACCGGGGACAAGAACTGAGGCTATGATCCCTATGGGGTCAAGGCTTTCAAGTTCTTTTCTCTTCTAGCAGCTCCTCACCAGTTTCTAAAATCACAGAACCATTAAGGTTGGAAAAGAGCTCTGAGACCACCAAATCCAACCATCAGCCCATCCCCACTGTGCCCACTGAGCCGTGTTCCTCAGTGCCACATCTGCCCTTTTCTGGAAAACCTCCAGGGATGCTGACTGCACTGCTTCCCTGAGGAGCTGACTTGGACAGGCTACATTAATCTCTTTGGAATTAGGTTTCTTAGCTGGAAAGAAAAACAAAAACAAAAAAAACCCAACTTCCTTACTTACTTCTCTCACCTAAAACTGTGTGAATGCTCCCAGAGAGGTTGTGGATGCCCCATCCCTGGAGGCATTCAAGGCCAGGCTGGATGTGGCTCTGGGCAGCCTGGTCTCATGATTGGCGACCATCCACATAGCAGGGGGTTAGAACTAGATGATCAATGTGGTCCTTTACAACCCAGGCCATTCTGTGATTAATGCCTGAATATGCAACATCTGGTACCCAATGTAACTGGAATTTGCTTCTGCAAGCAGCTAATTTTAATTAGAAGTCATTCTTGCAATTGATTTCGGAAAAAGTTCCCAAAGAAGAGCTATTAATGAAATATGTAAGTGAATCACAGAATCGCTCAGAAATGCTGAGCGACCTAAGAAGAAATGTGCTTGTAAAGCCAAACCTGCTTCTTTCGGCCAGATTGCGAGGGCTTCCATTCATCCCGGTCCATCAGTTCAACCATCTCCACTTCTTCATCCTCACTAACAAACTCCTCTGCCAAAAACACCCCTGGGAATGGAAATGCCCAGCCAGCAAACGGGGAGTGCTCACTGCCTTCAGCTAAGCCCGTTGCCGGACAGTAAGTGAAATTATCCTCGCCCTGCAGAATAACAAGAGATGACACACACGTGAGGGGGAAGCTCTCATGACGAGCCGTTCCCCTTCGTCATCCCAAATCCTCAACGTGGGAACTGGGAACCGCCTGCCCGGCCCGTGGAGGTGCGAGGGCTGCTGAAGGCGGCCCTGCCGCGAGCCCGCGCCTCCGAGCCGCCTCTCTGTAGTACCGTCTCCGTCCCGCAGCGATGCTGGAACGCAGCTGACGCCGTTCCGGGGCGCAGTGCCGCCGCGCGGCCCTCAGCGATGCGCGCCCGTCGCGGGGGTCCCGCCGGTTCCGAAGGGCCGCGTGCCGCCCCGCCCCCCGCCGGCCCCGCCCCGCCGCCCCCTCCCCGCTACCTGTGTGGGCGGAGCGGCCTGCGCGGGCCCCTCGCAGAGCAGGCAGGAGCGGATCCCCTTGCAGCCGCAGCCCGGCCCCGCGCCGCCGCCCGCCGCCGCCTCCTCCTCTTCCTCCTCCATCCGCCCGGCTGAGCGCGGGACGCGGCCGTTCTCCCTCCCCGCCCGCCCTCGCGGCCCGGCCCGCTGCAGGTGAGGGGCGGCACGCGGGCTCGGTGCAGGCCGCGCGGCTGGGCCGGGGGCGGCCTCGCTCTCCCGGCGTCCCTCGCGGCGCCGCCGGGGCCCGTAGCGCTGCTGTGCGCCGCGGGGGCCGCTGGGAGCTGTAGTGCCGCGCGCGGCCGGGGACGCTCCGGGCCGCGGCGCGGCGGGGCGTCGCGGGGCACCGGGCGGAGCGGAGCGGCCCCGCCGTTCCGAGCGCTTCCCGGGAGCGGCCCGGCGCGGGGCTCGTGCCCGCAGCGTGACACGGCCGGGCCGGGCCCGGGGCCGGCTGCCGCCGCTCTGCCGCTGCGTTCGGGCGCAGCCTTTTTGTTTCCCTCCTCGAGGCCGTGCCGCAGCCCCGTACGAAGGACCGGCTGCCGAGCGTCCGGCGCCTGTCGGTGTGCGGAGCGACGGGGGGACGTGGCTTGGGGCGGGCGGGGCTGAGCTTTATGCCGGGTGCAGGTAGAAGTTGCTTACAGTAAGGGCGGCCCAGCGAAGAAACGGCCGTAGCGAGCAGCGGGCGTCGCTGCGGGTGGTGATTAATCCCAAGTTTGAGGAACGCGGAGGCTGCCAGCCAGGAGTCCATCCGTGTGGGCGGCTCTGCGTTCTCTGTCGCCTCCCCCCGAGGACGCGGCTGCTGCAGGTCAGCTCATCCTGAGCGCTGCTGTGGGGCGGCCCTCGGGCCGGAGCCTGGCTGCACGGCGCAGCCCTCAGTGCTGAGAGGCCTCACGGGGCGGGCAGCTCATCTGCAGCGAGCTTTTGGGACGGGCTGGGTGGGCTCATTCGGGGTGTGTGCCCACCTTAATGTATAGCCCGGTATTCTCGTCTCAGCCGTAGGAAGAAGAGCCCTTCAAACTCAGCAGCAGAAGCGGTAGCCAACCTCGTAACGGTTTTTGCTCCCCTTTGGAGTCGGTTGCAAAGGATTTCCCTTTATCTCTGTTTGTTTTCCCAGGGGGGCTACAAGAAGAGTTCTTACAGCTGCTTGGTGATTGCAGCTGGAGGGTGAAGATAAACATGTCAAAAATTACCACAGAGCTTCTTTTGGAAAGAGCGGTTCCGAAATCCACGAGGCTCCGAAAGATTGAGACGCTGAAGTAAGTGCAAGCAGGCCCATGGAAAATTCCAGATGAATTCAGCACGGATGATCCTCCTTTCAGGCATTTCTACTGAAATAAGAGAAATCGTGACAAAGCCCAGAATTAGAAATGGTGTTGTCAGTGCAGGATCAGTGAGCTGCCACAATTACTGCCTCTCTTCACCATATATGTTGTTTCCTGGTTTCTGATTTCCTAATGCTGAGAGGTGTTCCTTCCCCCCACTTCTGTCCTCGATAGCAGTTGCTTGGTGTAAATAGGAGAAGTGCTTCTGGTCTGGATCTACAGGATTTTCTTAATGTTTTGGCATTATGTCCATTCCCTTTATTTTCCCCTCCATCACTTTGCTTTAAATCCAATTATATTACTATCTGAAACATTGCAGAAAGGGAGAATGAGCTGACATGCTTAGCAGCCTCTAAAGCAGTTTTATTGCTCAGACCCTCTCAGAGGTCACTGAACATAATAAATATCTTTCCATGTGATAAATAACAGTGGGATATTTTTTAAATTGAGAGCTGGTCACTCCAAGTGACTCATCTAGCTGATTTCTGGCAGGCGTCTGTGTTGTTTTTGTTGCTAATGGAGGAGTTCTGGGTTTCATTATGTACATAGAAGTGACTTCTTTTAGTTTGTCTTGTGCTGAAATAATTGTTTTTGGGGAAAAAACTTGAAAGTTTATCCATAGAGTGTAGGTTGCAGGAATCTGGATAACAAGGTGGTGTTCAGGCAGCTGAAGTAGTGAATTTCTAGAAGTAGTTTTTCCATGCAGCTTCATGTCATGATTTTGAAGGGTAATATTTCTGAAAGTCCGTTTAGGGAACGCTGTGCTGAGTCTCTCCCAGTCTGTGTTCCAGCCCCAAGTGATGCTCCTGCTTGGAATCACAACACAGCAGGCACTCTCAGTGTTGCAGCCTTTTCAACCTTGTATACATACTTTGGCTGATTAGGCTTCTGAGATGACGAGTGGGAAGTGATCTTGCTTTCTAAATTAATGTACCTGATTTATTCACATTTTTTGTATATGGCCCTTTATTTGCTAGTCATTATAGATGGAGATTCTGTTTGTTAGAGAAACTCAGGCTTATATCCTCAGGAGACCCTGGCTGACAGTGCTGGAAGTTCCCTGTGGGCTTCAGCAGAATGGTCTAATCAGACCTGCACGATCCTTCCTATAATACACAGTTTTCAGTTTCTCAGTGAGGAGGGGTGCTTTTTCCCTTTTCAAACCAGGCTGAGGGGTGCCCTAATGTGTGACTTTGTACCCTGTAAGGGTCAGCACTCATTTTGCAGTGAAATGCAGGTAGCTGATGTTCTCTTTTCCTTTCAGCCTGTCCAAGCTGCAGCTGAAGACCGGTGACTTAGATCCACGTCTGTTTTCACGTCTGAGGCATCTACAGAAACTGGATCTCTCTGATAATTTATTGGACAAATTTCCCAACAGTCTAACCCTGCCTGATCTGCGTGTCCTGAACTGCAACAACAACCAGCTGGAAGATGTCACTGCTCTGAAACAGTTCCCTCTGCTTGAAGAGCTAAATTACGAGAACAATGTGTACCTCACAGTGAGTTATTTCCCTTTCTTACAGATATTACATAGAGGGGGAAATAAACAGCAATTGTACCTAGTTCTTATGTGTTATTCTTAGGCAGCAAATGAAGGCACCTTAGAAAGCACTCAGTGCTTTTATTCCCCAGGATGTGAACAGAATGCCCTGCCTTGCAGGCAGGTCAGAGCCCAGTTTCACCACCACCACCTTGTGTTGGTGTCAAGTACTGCAGAAATGCGAGGCACTTATTTGCATTGCTGAAGATCCCAACTTACAGGGGAATCCTAATTTACAAGTAAAAGTTATTTGAGTCAGAAATGCTGAGAAGATTTTATGGAGTATCCTTTTTCATGTAGATACACTCTGCTCTTCCTTGGGTTGTATTTTAATAAGAAATAAGGGAACTGAAGCAACCACCATGTGTACAATTTTTGTAACTCTGCTGTCTTTCTAGCTCAATGATGATTATAAAGTGATGTTTCTTTTGCAAAATCTTCGGCTGCTCAATGGCAAGGACATAACCAAGCTGGCTAATCACGTGAGGCGTGTCAATAGCCGTAAGCTGACCAGCAAGGTAAGATGAGCAGTGTTTTCTTCACCTGTGAACACCTGCAAAGTAACTAAATACCATGCCACAGTATGGGATGTACTTTAAATGCCTTATTACTGCTTTCTCCACTGCTTGCATTTGTTGCCACTTCTACCTTCAGTTTCAATCAGTGTGAGGACATTCTGTGTTTCCATAGTGCTGACTCTCTTGGAGTACTAGGCTGCAAAACTGGCAGGAACTGACAGCCAGAGAATTCTTGTCTAGCAAAGAGGATTTGTCATGAATGCTCCACAGGGGCAGGAGCAGCAAGGGCTGTGTTTGAGCCTCCAGTTTTCTAGGTCACTCAGTTGCCATACAAATATGGAAGAAACGGAGTGCTTCCTTACCAGCTGCATGTATCTCTCTATCTAGTTGATGTTACTTGTCCTGGCCCCAGGAATGGAAGTTCAAAACTAGGCTCAGGATAATCTTGATTTCCCCAGCATGCTCCAGGAACAAGGACTTGTTTGTTCTTTTGCTCTATGTGCCTGGAATGGCACTCTCACTTGCATACGTGGTCATTCAGCTCATGACATATTCTCCCTTCATTGTGCCCAAGATTCAGAAGCCTTTTGGAGCCAAGATATCTGAATTTATAAATGGTGATGGTGTGTGTGTGCTGTGCTTGTGCACTCACTTGAACTACAAGAAAACTCAAACCCCCATTGTCACATACCTGTTACAGTTACCTGTCAGGTGCTCTCTGGCAGTGAGGCACAGTGTCTTAAGAGCACTTGCTATGAATCTAGAGGCACAAAATCAGGCATTGGTTTGAGTTCATGTTCTTTGCCACACAAACTTGGATCAGAGGGACTGGATTTTGTTTGCACTGAAGTTGTGCTTCAAGTGCTGATCAAATAAATCAAGTAAGTACCATCATGTGGATAGTGGAGCCAGAGAGTTAACTTGTAAAATGTTTTTACAAGTACTCTTGTGCTTTTCTGCTTTAGTTTTCTATAGTATACTGTTGAGTAATCCAATCTTTCTATCTAGGTTACTGCTCACTGGGAAGAATTCTTCCGTGACCAACTTCCTGAGAAGTACACAGCTGAGCAAGTGAAGTCCATCAAGAAAAAGTTCTTGAAGTCAGTTCAGACTAATGTAGTGTATGGACCCAGCTCTCTTAGTGAATTCACCCGCTGGCGGGTAAGTTGCTTTTCACTGACACTCCTTTCTTCTGGCAAGGGCTCTGCAGCCTGATCCTGAACAACTCTGATTGAAGTACTGTGTGGATTTGGGCTCAGAGGACTCTTTCAGGAGGATGGTATCATTTTTTTTTCCTCATTTGTTAAGCGGGTACAGGAGCACAAATGCAAAGTGTGCACTAAGATGCGATGATTGTCATTAGACATTGGTTTTTAATTCACAAACAATAATGACAGTTGTACTAATTAACAAGACTGTGGTATTCCTAGTACTTAATTTTGCAAACTGCTGATCACTTTAATGGCAGCCTTTAATCTTGATGCATCCATCAAGGAAGCTGTGTGAAAGGAGAAAAGGTAATGACAGAACTGTAGTTGCTCCTAGTGAGAAGAGATACCATTTCATTTATAACACAGGGTTTAACTGTATGTGCATCAGCTTCCATCACTCCTTTGTCTTATTTTACTGCTGGGATATTGTTTTGTTCCTTGGAAGTCCATGACAGAGTGAAGTTCTTGGATCAAGTAGAACAGATGTAGTCAGCAACGCAAACTACCACTGATGTTGTTGTATGTGGAAGTGAAAAGTTCACTCCAGCAGGCAGTGTGATGCACA